GATGTGGGAGCCGGTTCCAGCATCACTTCCGTCCGGGTCGCCGGCTTGGGACTCTGTCTGCGCTGCGAGCGCAGCATCAAACGGTTAGCATGCGGCGTTAGAGCTCCACGAGGCAACTGCTCTGGCGATTCCTTGGGTTGTGAGCTGGGTATCTCGTCGGCATCCGGATGAGCTTTGCTCTCCGCTGCCGTCAGCGCTGCCGTCAGGCCCGTGTTGAGCATGAAGGAGTCGTCGTCATCGTCGTCTCCGGCGAAGAGCTCCTGCTCCACGGCAGCTGCTGATCCTCCATGATTCCGTGGACTGCGTCGCGGCAGCTGCGTGGGCGTTGTCGCTGCACTGATCAATGTGGGCGTCTTGAAGCTCCTGGTTATGTTCTCCTTTGTGCCGCCCATTTTTGTGGGCGGCGTTTGACCGGGCAACGTATCCGCCGGCGCAGTCCTGGGCAATCCTTGGCGCACGTTCTCCATTTCGGCGCGCCTTTTGTTGATTTTCATCACGGCCACGAGACGGCGCTCCTCAATCTCCTTCCGGAGCAACTCCTTGCGGCAGGCGGCGCTTGTGCTGGGCTTCTCCGCAGCCTGGCAATTGGTTGTGCTCCCGGTTCTCGGCTGATTCCGCTCGGCAAGGGGTTGTCGAGTCAGCTTTGGACTAGGTTCTTTTACTTTTCCTTCCCCTTGCACTGGATCCTTGGGATTTGTCCTTATTACTCCACTCTCCGCCGGCTTTGGCTGGGTTTTGCTTGATTCTTGCTTGGAGTCCTCGGGTTTTGGAGTCAGCTTTGGACTAGGTTCTTTTACTATCCCTTTTACTTTCACTGGATCTCTTTTAGTATTCCACTCTCTTCTTAGTATTCCACTCTCTGCCGGCTGCGGTTGGACTGCGCTTGATTGTTGCTTGGAGTGGAGCACGTTCCCGACGTTTGGAGTCACCTTTGGACTGGGTTCTTTTACTATTCCTTCTACTTGCACGGGATCCTTAGGATTTGTTCTTATTACTCCATTCTCTGCCGTTTTTGGCTGTGCTTTGTTCTGGTCAAGCTTGCGCAACTTGGATGGCAATGGCTGGTCCGCGCTGTCTGGTGTCTTGCGCTTGCGTTGGGAGCCTTGAAGCGGCGCCTCCGCGAGGAGATCCTCGACCTTGCCTTGCGGCTGCGCCTCCTCGAGGGACATGTGCAGATCCTCAACCCCCTTCGCTGCGTCTGTGGCGCCCTCCGCTTGCGACCATTGGATGTTGCCCACCCCTATCTCATATTGGACAAACTGACGCGCTTCGTGGACTAGCATCCTGGCCGCCTCGGCGACGGTCATGCCTGCCTTGCCCGTGATGAAGAAGTTCCGGGCCGTATTGCGCTGTGCCGCCTCCAGTGCATTCTCATGCTCGTTCTGCTTGGACAAATCGAAGCTCAGGGAATTGTAGAGCACCTTCTCGAGGGCCAGGACATTGGCGCCGGCCAGCTCGACGAGGCTTGTGATGCCCGCATCGTGCAGGGCACGGGCACGCTTGTGGCTGAGATCGGGCAGACGCATCAGATCGATGAGGTCGCGATGTATGCCAAAGTAGAGGCGATCCTTAAATTGGGAGACAACCAGCGAGAGCGTTGACCATTGCAGGGAGTTGCAAAAGGCGGTCACAATGCCCGCAAAGGTGGAGGCCATCTGCTGCAGACCTTGGAGCATGCCGCGCTGGCACTTGAACTTGTGGGCGACCACATTGATGGGCGTCTCGTTGACCAGCTCCTGCAGTGCCAGCGCCGTGTAGAAGCTGCAACGGACAATCTTCTCTGAATATGCTCGACCTAATCCCAAGCCGGAAGGCCACCTACCGCTTGTGTATCTGCATCAGCTTGTAGTCCAGCTTGGCCTGGCCGCGCATGGCGCGCACCAGGAACGCCTCCTTGACGCCGACCAGCTCGCCCACTTTCTTCATGGCGGGACTCAGCTTCTCCCACATGTCCAGATAGAGTAGCCAGTCGACCTCCTGCAGCTGATAACACACGGAATACGGCGTCACCAGATAAACCGCATGCAACTCCGACTCGAGCACAAAGCAACGTCGCGACTTTTGTAGCTCGGCGAAGAGTATGAGCCCGTCCGTTGGCGGCATGGAGGAGGCCAGGCAGGCGGCGCCCAGCCGTGTGGCCATATAGTTCTCCGTCTCCGTCTCCTCGTCCGTTTGCAGGCGTATAAACTCGTACTCGATGAGGAAGTCCAGGGCATCGCTTATGTAATCGGCAGCAGCCTCCGGATTGTGATCCTCCTTTAGCTCGCCTTCCTTTTGCGCACTGAGCAGAGTGCAATTGAAGAAGCTATCGATGTCCTGCCGCGTGCTGGCCACACCCGAAGAGATGACCTCGAGCAGCGCGCGTTTCAGATGCGTCTGGAAAAATGGAAACTCTTTAAATATTTGCTTGTAGATTTACAAGTTGTACCTTACGCTGCCATCGAGATCCAGGCAGGATCTAATGGGCTTCAGCTGCGCGGTGACCAGTTCCCGACCGATGCGCGCATTGCTCTCGCTGCAAATGAGTATGGATTCGCCGAGTGTATCCCTGCCCGTGCGTCCGGCGCGGCCAATCATTTGCCTGTACGTCAAGGAGCTCATCTGCTTACCGCCAAACAAGGGTGAGCGGATGAGCACGCGGCGGGCGGGCAGATTGACGCCCGAGCTGAGTGTACTTGTGGCCACGATGACTTTAAGGGCGCCCGCCTTGAAGCTGGCCTCAACAATGTCGCGCTCCTCCGTGGTGAGGCCGGCGTGATGGAAGGCACACGCGTAGCTAATCGCCTTGGACATGACCGAGTCGAGACCTGTTGAATGCAGCACGGAATTAAACAGAAACAGGGTTAATCTTTAGAAGGAGCACTTGCCGGTGGGTATGTCGCGCAGCTGGCGCTTCACATCCTCGAGCGCTTCCCGGTTAAGCTGCCCGCGCAGCTTTTGGGCCAGCTGGCTGTCGGATTTTATGAGCGTGTGCATCGCCGTGGCCAGCTGCACGGCCAGGTTCTCGCACCAATCCTTGGAGGGACAAAAGACGACAACGGAGCAGCCCTCGAGCAACGTCTCGATGCACAGCTGCGCCACCTGGTCGCTGTCGTTGGCCAATCCGGGCAGTTCCGCGTTCCGGCTGACGTCGCGCAGGAAACGCAGCTGATTGTCATAGATCTTGGTGCCCACCTTGATCATCTCCTGCAGCGCCACGGGCCGGTAGTCTGTCACGTAGAGCTCGGCGCTGAGCCAGCGCTGCAGCAGCTCCACGTTGGCCAACGTGGCGGACATGGTGATCACCTGGATTTGCAGCGCTTGCCTGCGCGACATGTACAGAATCTTGGCGAGCAGCAGCTCAAGGATGTAGCCGCGCCCCGGATCAGAGATCAGGTGCACCTCGTCCACGATCACGGTGCCCAGTTCGTCCAGTTTGCCCTGCTCCAGCTGCTTGTTGACAATCGAATTGGCCTTCTCGATCGTGCAGATGGCCACGTGGATGCTCTCGAAGCCGCCGGGCGGCGTGTATCCCCCAAAGAAACCCTCCACCCGGTAGCCGGCGGGCGTGAGCAGATCCTGCAGGTAGAACATCTTTTCGCGCACCACCGATATGAAGGGCAGTATGACCAGCACCTTCTTTCGGCGCTCCAGCACAGTCTTCAGGAGCAGGATCTCGCTGACGAGCGTCTTGCCCGCGGATGTGGGTGCCGAATAGACCAGGTTGCGATGCTCGAAGAGCACGCTAGGCTTGCTGAGGCACTCAACCTGCCAGTCGAACATTTGGATCACGCCCTTCTTCTTGTACTCGCCGAGCACGCTGTGCGGCAGATTCCACGAGGAGATCAGCTTGAGGGCGGGCGCTGGTGGCAGCTGCTCCTTTGGCAAGGGACTGTTGGGACTGTTCGGGGATAGCCGCAGCTGATTGGGCGACATGCTGCTCAGGTTCTGGGTCAGCTTCTGCGTCTGGGCGAGACTCTGCTTGGCCAGTTCGCAGCGACTGCGCATGAGATCCTGCTGCAGCTGATGCGACGCCTGCGCATCATTAGCCGCTGGTCCCAGGAAGCTGCTCTCGTCGAGATTGGCCAACTCAATGGGGGAATCACTTCTACTCTGCACAGGCTCCATTTCCGTTTCCGTGCCGAAGACATCTTTAGTGCAGATTTGTGCCTCAAAAACGGACGTCGTGTTGAGATTCTCGTAGCTGCCTTCAAGCACTTCAGTGGCAGCATCCAAATCCGCCTGGATTTGGGAGACACGCATCAGGGATTCACATGGGCGAACTGCTTCCTCCTGGTTTTTACCATACGAAAAGTCATCCTTGAAGAACTGCGAGTTAATTGCCGTGGTTCGTCCCAACTTGGAATCGGATTTACTGCGTCGGAATTGCTGGCGCTGGGATGCATTCGATCTGTTTGTGCTGGACTGAATGTAAATACGCTGAGATTTTGTTTGAAATTTTGGCGGCGATTCTTGGATAATTTCCAAGGCATTTGCTTCTTGTTTTGCTTTTAAATCGTTTTCCAGTTTCATGAACGTGCTGTCACCAAACTCAAAAGATTGCGAAAATGCCATAATTTGTTAATTACTATTTAATAAACTATTATTATACAATTTAATTAAACTACAAATAAACAAAAATAAACAACAAATTCCCGCGGTCTTCCAAGTGCGGACTGCCAACTGATTTCACATTACGGCATTTTTAGTACATTATTTACAATAGTTGTGTCGATGCTGTTAATTGTGTCATCGATAGTGGTAACAACTTACGATAGTAATATGTGTGCAAATCAAATAGAAAAATTGATAACAGCACTAAACATACAATAAATTATGTGGTATATATATTGTATGGTTAGTGATATTGAACAGTCAGTGCCCAAAAATTTAATAATATATGCGGTATTTTGGCCATCGCTTCGATGTGCTGTAGATGTAATATCGGCAGATATCGTTAGCGCAACTATATCGATAGAAGTTCTGAAAAATTTCTCACATCTCTAACGTACACAGAATTGCCAATTACCATTAAAGCCGAAAACATTCGGAAGAAAGGCGATTCCAGGCGATGCGTATACGTTTTGGCGGAATTGCAACATGGATGATTTCAAGGTGCCAGTTTTACCAGCCGCACCAGCAGCCAAAAGCGAACATTTCGACGATGATCCGATGCCGACAGCTGCAAAGCCCAAAACTAGCGGTGGCTGCCCCTACAAAGTGCCAAAATGGTCTCAGGCGCCTCCCGCCGAACAGGATTACAGATTCGAGGTGCTAAAGTCGGGTCAAATTATCGATGAGGTGAAGGATCTGCAGCAGCAAGCCATCTGGACCTTCGGCAGGCTGCCCGACAACGATGTGGCCATGGCGCATCCCACAATATCGCGATATCATGCTGTGCTCCAGTACAAGCCAAAGGCAGGTCAGGAGGAGGACGACAGCTCGAAGCCAGATCAGCCCGAGGGCTGGTACATCTATGATCTGGGCAGCACACACGGCACCTTCCTCAATAAACAGCGCGTGCCGCCGCGCGTTTTTATACGCATTCGAGTAGGCCACATGCTGAAGCTGGGCAGCAGCACCCGCGTCTACATACTTCAGGGTCCCGGCGATGATGAGGAGCCCGAATCAGAGCTTTCGGTAACAGAGCTACGTGAACAGCGAGAGCAACAAGTGGCCGCAGCTGCTGCTGAAAAGCAGCGCAAGGCACTTGAAGCAGAGGAGCGGGAACGCAATGAAGGCGCCAGCTGGGGCATGGGCGAGGACGCGGACGAGGAGACGGACCTAACGCACAATCCGTACGCGAGCACCAACAACGAGGAGCTCTTCTTTGACGATCCCAAGCGCACGCTGCGCGGCTTCTTCGAGCGCGAAGGCCTCAATCTGGAGTACAAATGCGACGAGTTGTCGCAAGCCTCGTTCGTCTGTCGCGTAGAGCTGCCCATAGACGACTCCAATGGCCGGCCCATTGTAGTGGAGGTCACGCACAAGGGTCGCAAAAAAGATTGCGTTGTGCAGTGCGCCTTGGAAGCGTGTCGCACGCTCGATCGGCACGGCGTGCTCCGGCAGGCCAACCAGGAGTCGCAGAAGCGCAAGCACCTGAAACCCGGCGACTCCGATGACGAGGATGAGTTCTGGGATCGCACAGGCGACGTGGCCAGGAAAAAGCAACGGAAGGCAAATACCAGCGCAGGGGTTACGCTCACCTACGAGGACTTGGTAAAATAACATTTAAATTAATAATAAATAAATATTTAACCAGATAATTTCTTTTCAGCTGAAGCAGGAGCTTGAGCTGAATGCCGAGCTGCAGAAGGTCGAGCAGGAGATCGGCGCCTACCAGCAGAACGAGAAGCGTCTAAAGGAGCTGGCCGTCCAGCAGCAGAGCGCCGGCGATGATCTGGACAATTTCATGGATACGCTCAGCGAAAATGTCGCGCAGCTGGACAAGACAGAGATAAAAAAACTGAGGGTAAGTCGGGGAGATCTTTCTTAATAAACTGTATATTAACTGTCTTCTTCAAAGTTGGAGCAGCAAAGGATAAGGGGTGAGCAGCAGAAATTGCAGCGCCTCATAAGGATTGCCAAGCCCACGGCTTTGCCATTTGTGACGCCCAAAAACAAGACGTTGGACTCCAATGTGGCCAAGAAGCAGCTGCCGATGATTGGCAAGCGAAATCAATTTAGTAAATTTAAGGTGATCAAAGCGACGCCGAGCGTGCGAGCCAAGGCATCCGAGGAGCAGGAGTTCGAAGAGGAGGAGGAGGAGCAGGATGAAAAGGAAGAGAAGCAGGAGAAGGAGGAGATGGCAAAGGAAACTGTTGCAAATCCAGCAGCAAGTGGAGAGGAGTACGCTCAGGAGTTGCAGGAGATGACAAAGAAAACAGTTGCAAAGCCAGCACCAGGAGAGGTCTCAAAGGAAATAAAGCCAACGGCTGAGCCGGAAGCGGACAAGAGACATGTGCCAGTTGCAGCAGCTGAAACATCAACAGACCTGACTGCACCGGAGGAGGATGAAAATGCCGAGGAGGAGGCGGCGGCTCAAAAGAAGCGACGTCAACGTGCGCGTCAGCGCAACAACAAACAGCGCCAGGATGTGGACATGGATCTCAATGAGCTGGCCGAGCACGAGGATGGCGACAAGTACGCCAAGTGGGTGCCGCCCACAAATCAAAGTGGCGATGGCTTTACGCACCTGAACGAAAAGTTCGGCTACTGAAAATACATTTAATTAGCGCTAAGCAAAAATGCACAGCCAAGTGCTATTTTATCTAACTAAAATATTATTAAGCTAAGGCATTAAATCAAACAATTTTTTTTTATGTTTAAGAACTAACTAATATTCGTTCTATATTTTCTTAAAATTTAAAGTGCAAAACGAATTTTTCCAAAAGTGGAAAGCCTGCCGGACGCTACTCACCACGCTGTGTGCATATTCACCACAGCTGTGCTTTGATAAGCCGCAGCTACCCCAGTTCCAGTTCCAGTTCAGTTTGTGTGTCCAGCCCCTGACGACCGACGCGTTGCCTTCCAGTGGAACTGGAACTGGAGTCGGGTGCAGAATGAACACATTACGAATTCCTGCGCACGTATAGAGAATGAATGCGGGTCGTCGGTTGATTGCCGCTGTTAAGGCTCCAGCACTTGAACTTCCAATTCAGTTATAATTTTGCTACTCTTTTCGTCGGAACGGCGAACGGTTGAGCGTGTCGCGAATTTATTTTGATTTAACCAAAAAACGTCGAATCATATTTGTTTCCGATTAGAATTAAAATTTAGTCGTTAATTGAAAAAAAACAAAACAAATTAATTAATTATTTATATCAACTTTTGAGTTTGCTTGAGCTGATTAAATTAGTATTAATGCGGTCGCCACGTGCTTTCTCAATAGCCGGAGCACATGTGTGGGTTACATTTTAAAACGCGTAACAGTCCGTCTCAAAAGACGTCCCTGCGTTGGGGCGACTGCTGCTAATCTCCAAGATATTCCTGGCTAAAAACGCGCTGTTTCCTATATTAATAAACTGCTAGTTCAATTCGTGACGTCTGTGATCTGATCATAGTAAAAATTAGTCGCAACTAATATAAAAATAACTCACTTGTTTAGGAAATGTTGCATAAGCCAAGGCGCATTTGATTGGCGCGCGCATTTGCCGTCGTTAAAAGCAGCCAAGACATAACTTAACGCCTGCTTTGAACTTGGCACACTCACACACTCACACGCAAACACGCTCACACACACGCGCGCACACTTAAAGGTTTTACCACAACAAAGGTGAGTTCGATTGCCCGCAAATGCAGCGGGACATGCGCAAAGATTGCGGCCTTCTCTCTCTGCCCGCCTTTAGGAGCAGCGCTGCCCCTTGGAAGCTCTCTTGTTGTTGTTGCTGTTGTTGTTGTTGTTTAATTGCAGTTTATTTTGTGAATGAAGCTTTGCTCGCTCGCTTGTTGTTGTTGCGCATCGGGTTAGATATACTTAACTCATATAGATATCAGAGCTGCAAGCCCAATCAAAATGTTCACAATGGTTCGCCTTAGGGTTCGGTTCAGGGCTGTAAAGAAACAGGGCTGCAAATTAAAATAAAAACAAGCCCTGCTTGTGTTTATTTATTTATTATTTATTTATTAACCAATTATCTTAGCTTAAAAATATTACATTAAAAACCTAACAGAAAATATGAACTTAAAGAAAATGTAAAACTAATTAGTTTTAAATGAGTTCAAACCTTGCATGGTTGTGTCACAATATTAATGAAACAATGATATGAATATTTATTTATTATTATTATTATTATTATTATTATTATTATTATTGTTATTATTATTGTTATTATTATTGTTATTATTATTATTATTATTATTATTATTATCATTATTATTATTATTATTATTATCATTATTATTATTATCATTATTATTATTATTATTATTATTATTATTATTATTATTATTATTATTATTATTATTATTATTATTATTATTATACCTTGAACCCATTAAAAATGGGTATAAGGGTATATTGTTTTTGTGCAAAATCCAAATGTATGTAACAGGCAGAAGTAAGCTTCTCCGACCCCATAAAGTATATATATTCTTGCTCAGCATCAATAGCCGAGTCGATCTAGCCATGTCCGTCTGTCTATCCGTCCGTCCGTCCGTCCGTATGTATGAACGCAAGGATCTCAGAACCTATAAGAGGTAGAGACTTAAAATTTTAGATGTAGATGCTGCGATATCCTGATATCCTGTTTTTTGGGCAATTTTGGTTAATAATAAGAGGTAGAGTCACCAAACTTGAGATATAGCTTCTAAAATAGAATATATATATGCATTTGATGTTGGAAGAAGAGTGTTCAGGGTATCCCCTAGTCGGGAGCTCCCGACTAGAACCTCTTACTTGTTTGGGTTTGATTTAAGTTTTGGTTCATAGTTAAAGATAAATTTTAGTTCCGTGCTCGAGCTGGTTCGGTTGCAACCCGATTCGCAGCTTTGAAAGATATACATTGATTTTTGAAATAAGTCTTAATTCTTATTGTAAATCTTCGCTTAGCAAATACTTGAATACATATATTATACTTAGTTTATGTCCATCCAGCCTGACTAATTGCCGGCTGTCGTTTAACATAATTAGTGAGAATCTTTTAAAACAGGTCGTATTGCAATTTGCTGCGTTGTTAGTTAATTGGGCGCCATTTAGAGGGACGGCAGGAGACCTAAAGGCTACGTAGCCAAGGCCATTGCAGAATGTCATTGCGCCTCATTTGGCTCACGGCTTATCCTTGGGCAAAGGTCAGTTGCGGGCGGTTGGCCTTGACTAAGGGGTGGGGAGAGGGGGCGGGGGCGTTTGGTGCTTAATTGAAAATCAAGGAGGAGGAACAGGCTGTCAAGGGTCAAGAATACCCCAGTTGTCATATAATAGAAGTTGTCTAACTCTTTTATTATTATGTAAATTATTAAATATTATTTTAATTACAAAATGGAAAGTTCGGCAAAACTAGTATTATTATAATTATTATTATCTTTTCGAAAAGTTTTGATTTCAATTTCTATATTTATGTATAACATTTAATGCTGGATCGATTATTTCTATTAGATAATATAGTACTGGGATTTGGTAATTAATTTATTAATAATTAAATCAAAGTAATTAATTTATGAATAATTAAATTAAGATATGCACAGCCTGCAATAAGAATTTGTATTTATGTAGTTAGCTACGAAACTGAGAGATTAGTTCAAGCTGGAGCTGTATTCTTGTGTGCGTTGCATATACCCTGCGCATATACCCTCTGCTAGGTTATATTAAGTGCAATCTGAGCGCATGCTCAACTATTTATAATTATGCTCTAGGTCAATCCTGACTCCCCTCTCCCCTTGCAACCCGCAGCTGAAAGGTCAGACCTCTATTAATTAACAAGCAGAAGGACAGGACAGAAATCCTCCTAAACGCAACAAGATGATCAACATAGCCGGCGTCGCGAGCATTATACTCTTTTATGCGCTCATCCTGGTCGTGGGCATTTGGGCTGGCCGCAAAAAGCAGGCGGGCAATGATTCCGAAGAGGAGGTCATGCTGGCGGGTCGCTCCATTGGACTCTTTGTGGGCATCTTCACCATGACAGGTGAGTAGGATGCAGCTATGAATCCCTGACTATGACAATCCGTATAACTAACTATTCCTAGCTACTTGGGTGGGCGGCGGCTACATAAACGGCACGGCGGAAGCGATATACACCTCGGGCCTGGTCTGGTGCCAGGCGCCGTTCGGCTATGCGCTCAGCCTGGTCTTTGGTAAGATTCCATACTCCTCTTCTATATAGATAGATAGTTTTTATATATTCCCTCTTTCAGGTGGCATCTTCTTTGCCAATCCCATGCGCAAGCAGGGCTATATAACGATGCTGGATCCTCTCCAGGATTCCTTTGGTGAGCGCATGGGAGGCCTCTTGTTTCTGCCTGCGCTTTGTGGCGAGGTATTTTGGGCAGCTGGGATTCTGGCTGCACTGGGCGCCACCTTGTCCGTCATCATAGACATGGATCATCGCACCTCGGTCATTCTGTCCTCGGGCATTGCCATATTCTATACGCTCTTCGGCGGCCTCTACTCGGTGGCCTACACGGATGTCATCCAGCTGTTCTGCATCTTTATCGGGCTATGGATGTGCATACCGTTCGCGTGGACTAATGAGCATGTGCGCAGCCTAAGCGACATGGAGGTGGACTGGATTGGTCACGTGGAGCCCAAGATGCGCTGGTTCTACATCGACTACGGGCTGCTCCTGATCTTTGGCGGCATACCCTGGCAGGTGTACTTTCAGCGCGTGCTCTCCAGCAAGACGGCGGGCCGGGCCCAGCTGTTGTCGTACGTGGCCGCCGCCGGCTGCATCCTGATGGCCATTCCACCCGTGCTCATCGGCGCCATAGCCAAGGCGACCCGTAAGTGCCACGCCCAACTGATTCCCAGCTAAGTCTTGGCTAACTTTTGTATTCTCTTGCCAGCTTGGAACGAGACGGAGTACACGGGTCCGTACCCCTTGACCGTGGACGAGACCAGCATGATCTTGCCCATGGTGCTGCAATATCTGACGCCCGATTTCGTCTCCTTCTTTGGCTTGGGCGCCGTCTCCGCCGCGGTCATGTCCTCGGCTGACTCCTCCGTGCTGTCCGCCGCGTCCATGTTCGCACGGAATGTTTACAAGCTGATATTCCGCCAGAAGGCATCCGAAATGGAAATCATTTGGGTAATGCGCGTTGCCATCGTCATCGTCGGCATACTGGCCACCATTATGGCCCTGACCATACCCTCCATTTACGGACTCTGGTAATTGCTTAGCCCAATCCCGATTGACAGCTCAGCTGCTTAAAGACCTTCTTTCTGCAGGTCCATGTGCTCCGATCTGGTCTACGTCATTTTGTTTCCGCAGCTGCTGATGGTCGTCCACTTCAAGAAGCATTGCAATACCTACGGCAGCCTGGCGGCCTATATTATAGCCCTGTTCATCCGACTGTCCGGCGGAGAGTCCATCCTGGGCCTGCCCGCCCTTATACACTATCCGGGCTACGATGTGGAGACGAACACACAGCTGTTTCCCTTCCGCACCATGGCCATGCTGATCAGCCTGATCACGCTGGTCTTTGTCTCCTGGTGGACAAAGTGAGTATTCCCCCCGGGTCTTAACCCAATTATCCAATGTAAACCGTCTCCCCCGCGGCAGAATGATGTTCGAGTCCGGCAAACTGCCGCCCAGCTATGACTATTTCCGCTGCGTGGTCAACATACCGGAGGATGTGCAGCGCGTGGGCGATCCGGCCGAGTCCGGGGAGCAGCTGTCCGTCATGGCAGGCCCCCTGGCGCGCTCCTACGGCGCCGCCACCATGGCCGGCAAGGATGAGCGCAACGGACGCATCAATCCGGCCCTAGAGTCCGATGACGACTTGCCCGTGGCCGAGGCGAGGCGCCTCAATCAGCAGACGGCCCAGTCGCAGGTGCAAAAGATGCTCGACTCGGCCACAGGCAAGGCTGGCGGAGGCGGCGGTCAATGTCAGGGCATGGCCATGCCCACGCCGGAACAGGACAATACGGTCTTCTGAGCGGGGTCCGCCTGATTTTAGTGCGCCGAAAAGTTACTACAATTTATGTTTGAGTTGGGCTTCTTTTTCTTTTTTTACATCACGTATGATGTATATGATGCATATATGATGTACGTTAAACACACAAGTGCTCAGGTATATAGTGCAGAATGTTGCGTTTAAAGTTTATAATTATGTTGCCAAAGTTTTAACATAGTGTTTTGTAGAGGCTTTTTTTACGTTCCTTTATTTTATTTAATAAATTTATTTTAATAATAATTTTTAATTTAGGAGGCTTTGCATAGAGTAAATGGAATACATATACTTCAATTGACGCATAACCAAATGTATAAATGTTATATATAGCGATAAACTGATCGATAAACGTGAAATCGATAAAAACATATCAATGAAAAACTGAAAGCAACTGAAAACATATCAAATGCATTTCCCCCATTTTGCGCGAGAAATGCATTCAAAATACGTATTATTCAATAGAGTTTAAAGAAGAAGAGCGAATAATATACCTATAATTAGTATATATAACTATATATAATATACATTTTATTCTGTCACGTTTGTGTTGTTTGTGTCATTTGATGTAGTTGAACAAGTTTGGCAATTTTATTGATTCTATGAAATTTAGATGCATATAATGTGAATCATGTGTCCTTCCACGAAGCAACAGAAAATGAATCAAAGCTGACTAAACGTACAGAAAGAATTGAAAGAAATATTCGATTGAAGTGCAATAAATAACGAATACATATCAACTATGCAACTGAAGAATATAAGGAATATAAAGCAAACGATTTTTAGCTGCTCTCAAAGAGCAAAATATATCCTCCCCAACCCCCAAAAAAAACCCAAACATATTCGAGATGTTGCCTCATAGTACCTACAATTACCATATACATACACATGTTTATAAAATATATATAAAACTATATAATATATAGAGAAGGCAATTGAATTTAGAAAGTTTATACCCAGATATTTGCAATTGGAATACAAACCCATTTAAAGATACTCCACATTTGTTTCCAATTTGCCAATTTTCATAAAATTTTCTTATTTTCTTATCAATTCTACCGGCTCGTTTGTTAAACTTGGAACAGATTTAATATATCTAATACTATATAATATATGTGTTATATAAAAAACTTGATAATGTTTAAGTACTTAAATGTTGACTGCTTTTTGATTGAACTTTATATGAGAAAATTGATAAAGTAAAAAAAAGAGAGTCCAAAGATATGGCATACTATATATACTATATATCTGTTCTTGCTGTTGTTACCTGCTGTTAATTGTTATTTGTCTCTTGGTTTTTTGCCTATTATCTGAGAGTGTGTAGCTCTTGCTAAATACTTAGTCAAAGCTCGTAGCTAATACTTATGCAAAATTGTTTGTGCAACTCTTTAGCCATGGTTAATGGAACTGCGGAATTTGCCAGTGTTTAAGTTTGAAGTTAACTCACCTTTTTGTATATATAGGAAAAAGTAACTTAATTGCAATTGTTTAAGCAAATTACTAACAACAACAACAAAACCACCAACTATGTTATGTATTACGATATTACGGGATGAGCAATGAATTGAACTAACCAACTAATTAATATGGCAATTATAGGGTATCAGTGCCGTCGGACATTTCACGTTCACCCATTATTGTTGTCTAATTAATTGATGTATACATAGATACCCATTAGCGGCATATTACAATTATGTTACGATATATTACGAGCGACTTTACGATATACAAAAAAAAAAATATATATATATATATACGATCAAATTATACCGAAAAAAAACGAGATACATATCAATGTTAAAAGCATAGCAAAAGGAAAATTAAAAAAAAAATAAACGAGGGAATAAAAAAACGTATTTAATAAACAAATATATATATATATATTAAAATGGTTTCTCTGTTGATGCAAATGCCGTGTAATTATTTATTCTATTTCGCAAGTTAACCGTATTTATTTATTTACATGTAATCTCAGGTTATGCAATAACAACAAAAACAACAAACAACAAACAAAAGCTGCCTAATGACAAATTTAAAACAATGGAACTCTATTATCGTAAGCGGAAATTTCCCATCATAAAAATGCAGTTTCCAGTAGTTGGCGAGCTGCGCGGGAAGCTGATGGAAGCTGGGGGAAGCAGCCGCATCCAAGTTAAATAGCAAATGGCAATTGGACCCAAGCTACCGAAGCAGCAGCAGAAGATCACAGAGAGAAGATCATCTGACGCTGGAGCAGATGTCGGCCTATGTGAAGTATATTGTAGCTCTTAGAAGTTAATTAGTTTACTAATTCACCAAGGTACACGGGAAAAAAAACGTTGGTTTAGTTAAATTACTTTACTTTTTTTAAATTTTAAATTAAATTAAGAAGTTAACTTCATTTAAGACGTTCTGCTTTAAAGTTCACAAACTTCAGATCGCTCTAGTCACAACTTTATTTATTTTTTTTATTTTTATTTTTAAATTTTAAATTAAATAAGAAGTTGACTTCATTTTAAGCGGTTTGTTTTATAGTTCACAAACTTCAGATCGCTCTGGTCACAATTTTATTAATTTTTTATTTTTATTTTTAAATTTTAAATTTTAAATTAAATAAGAAGTTGACTTAATTTTTAGCGGTTTGCTTTAACGTGTACAGACTTCAAATCGCGCTAAAGACAATTTTATTTTTTTGGAATTTTTAAAATCAAATATTTGAGATTATTTTTAAAAATTTTATTTTTTGTTTCCAATTTAATTGCTCAAAAGCTGTAAAATTAAAGTGAATTAGTTAGAAATTTCTGGCTCTAGCTTATTTATTTACTTATTTATTTATTTATTTATTATTGTACTTATTTATATATTTATGCATATATTTATTCATTTATTTATTTAATTATTTATTCATTTATTTTTATATTTATTATAAATATTTTTTCCTTTTGCAATCATCAACTGAAAAATAGTAAAAATATCTCTCATCTAGAATTCATTATTTTATTTAAGTTTATTTTTAAGACAGCCGAAAGGTGCCCCAGCTAAGTCTTAGTCGTGTAACATTAACTATTTTAAGTTGGGCTCATTATGCTGCTGCACTTGTGCAATTAACTTCTACTCTTAATTAGATACAAGCCGCAACAAGTTACTGCGGGCCGCCTCATCACAAGTTCATATCTGGCGTCGCACAAGAATTGCCCTCTAATTGATGTTGTTGCTGCTGTCGTGGATGTTGCTGCTGCTGTCTCTGTGCTGCACATGTTGCTGGCAGCTAAATATCCGGTATTTTTCAAGATATTTGCATAGTAATCGCCAAAGCCTTCAACTGTCATTCGGCTGACTGTTTGCTGCCAATTAGCAGGGCGGAAGAATTTCATGAATGTCATGAGAGGAAGTGAGAGGAAGTAATCGCGAGATCTCACTGAAGAAGTGGCGTTCCAACAGGTCAAATAACAGGAGTACGACTAGAAAATACCCTATATCCAGCTTGTGGAAAGGCGAAGGTATTTAGCTTTGATGTATTCTTAACAAAACTTAGAATTTAAGAATATTAAAAACACGTAGCTGCATATCGATATTTATCGATTTCGAGGAAATATATCCTATATGCAGCTTGTGGAAAGGGGAAGGTATTAAGGTATATAAAATATTCTTAATCTGTGAAGTGCTTTTTTAAATGTTGATGTATGCTTAAGGGAAAGTATCCGTAAATCGATAGTTATCGATTTCAATACTTTCTAAAAAGTCTCCCAGATAAACTTCATGGGATCGGAGACACCTTTTTCCACCTGTTGCATACTCTGCCCCTTTTTTGCCCATTTAAACATTTTGTTATTTTTTTTAGAAATAATTGTCTCTTCTTCTTTATTAAACAATCGATAAGTATTATGTCTAACGCATGTTACAACTAATATTGGGGTCGTACAGCGGGGTCGAGATTCTCTCAAGATGCGAATAATTTACAATTGAGGTTTAGTTTTTTTTTTTTCTGGAGCAGCGGATGAATTGGGATGAAATGCAGCTGGGACGGATTGGGAGACTGTGGATGTGGGCACGAGCATTCTAAGGCACTGGATCGAATATTTTACCCGACTCTCCGACTCCCGTCTCACTTCTTGCGGTAGGTGTAGCCGCCGTTGGAGCTGTAGCCCTGCTGTATGGTCTCTGGCACCTGGCTGGGCGCCGAGTAGGCGTAGCCGGAGTCTTGGGCGGGTGCGCCGTAAGAGGAGGCGGGACCGCTGGGAATGCTATCGCCATTGGGCGCGCCATAGCTGCTGGAGGGAGCTGCTGCGGGTGCATTATAGGAGGAGGAGGGGCCCGTGGAGTAGCTGGATGATGAGGAGGATGATGAAGAGCTGGAGCCGAAAGATGATCCGCCATGAGAGCTAAAGCCGCCGGAAGATGGTGCACCATATGTGCTGGAGGGGGCCGCCGGATAAGGTCCACCGCTGCTTCCACCTGCACTGGGTGCGGAATAAGAGCTGGAGGGAGCCGGTGCTCCATATGAGCTGGAGGGTGCAGCAGGATAGGGTCCTCCACTACTTGCTCCAGGGCTTGGTGCAGAGTACGAGCTGGATGGAGCTCCATATGAGCTGGAAGGAGCAGATGGATAAGGTCCACCACTGCTTGATCCTGAGCTAGGAGCCGAGTAGGAGCTTGAAGGAGGTTTCGGTGCACCATATGAATTAGAGGGAGCTGAAGGGTAGGATCCACCGCTGCTAGAGCCGAGGCTTGGTGCAGAGTAGGAGCTGGATGGCGCTGAAGGGGCTGAGTATCCACCCGATGGAGCAGAGCTTGGCGCTCCATACGAGCTGGAGGGTGCGGCAGGATAGGGACCACCACTGCTGGCTCCGGGACTCGGTGCAGAGTAGGAGCTGGATGGAGCACCATATGAGCTGGAAGGAGCAGATGGATAGGGTCCTCCGCTGCTCGATCCCGAGCTAGGAGCCGAGTAGGAGCTGGATGGGGCGGAGGCATAGGAGCCACCACTGCTGGCGCCCGAGCTGGGTGCCAGGTATGAGTTAGAGGGAGCCGGAGCCGAGTAGGAGCTGGATGGGGCAGAGCTTGGTGCACCATACGAACTGGAAGGTGCTGCGGGATAGGGTCCACCTGATCCCGAGCTGGGAGCCGAGTAGGAGCTGGAGGGTGACGAAGCATACGATCCACCGCTGTTCGCACTTGGGCTGGGTGCGGAGTACGAGCTGGAGGGACCAGAGCTGGGTGCGCCATAAGAGCTCGAAGGAGCAGCTGGATAAGGTCCACCGCTGCTTGATCCTGGGCTAGGAGCAGAGTAGGAGCTGGATGGGCCAGAGCTGGGTGCACCATATGAACTGGAAGGGGCTGCCGGATAGGATCCACCGCTGCTGGCGCCCGGGCTCGGTGCGGAGTAGGACGAGGAAGGTGCACCATAGCTGGAAGATGGCGGCGAAATCGGATGGAAGGAGCTCGAGCTGGAAGGAGCGCCGTATGATGAGGAGGGTGGCGCCGGGGCGGCTGGGCCGGAGGTGTAGCCGCTGCTGCCCAGGGTCTGCGTCTTGGAGGGAGCGCCGTAGTTGGTCGCAGGCGCCGAGGGTGACGGCAGGAAGCTGCTCACGCTTGGAGCACCATAGCTGGAGGAGGGACGAGCTGGCGTGCCATAGCTGCTGGATGGGGGAGCCTGCTTGGGTGGACCGTACCTGGACGAGGGTGGAGCTGGGGGTGCGGGTGCTCCGTAGCTTTGCGACGGCGGCGAAGATTTCGGCGGACCGTAGCTGCTCGAGGGACGACGCGATTGTTGTTTCCTGGGCGGTCCGTAGGATTGGCTGGGACGACTGGGCGGCGCGCCATAGCTAGAGGATGGGGGTGGAGCGGGACGAGCAGGTGGTCCATACGAGCTGGCAGGTGGTCCATACGAGCTGGAGGGCCTGTGTGCGGGCGCGGGATACGGACCACCCGAGGAGGAGCCGGGGCCGGGTGCCGAGTAGCTGCTGGACGGAGCTGGACGCGGATTAAAAGACGGCGCCGGGCCCGAGGCGGGCGGCAAGTAAGAGCTGGCCGGCGGTGCGCCATACTTGGACGAGGGTCGTCCGCCGCCGCCGGAGGAAGGCGGCAGGTACGCATTGTTCAGCGGCGGCTCCGCGGACACATCGACAAGCAGGAGGAAGGCGATGGCAACTACGCCAAAATGCTAAAGCGAAATACAAAGAAAAGCGTTGCGAAAATGAGGAAATTAGTTTTCTGTGCCAAGCCGACAAATGAGCCATGGCTTACCACGGCGAACGACGAGCTCATCTTGGCTTGGGTCTGCGAATTGGCCAGGCTGCAAAAAAAAAAACAGAGTGCGAAAGAAAGTAAATGGCCGAGTCGCAAGTCGAAGTAATAAATGAAGCTAAATGTTGCATAAGTTATTTATCTATTTTTTTATAATTTGTTTTAGTTTTCTTTTCTCATACGCATTATGGCTATTGACCGAAAAATGAGGCTCGTCAGGGGTCAGGGGTCAAGGGGCCTCAATCAGCGGCTCATCAATCTTGGCCCAGAGCCCAGAACTCCGGCTGCGCATCGCTTGGCCCCCAAATCTTCGCTTCGCTTTTACATAATTCACTTTTGCTTTGAGCACAAAAAAAAAGAAGAAAATCACACACGAAGTGAAACTTTTCCTTTATTGAATAAAGGGCTTTTCTCGTAAAAGCTTTTGAGTCGAGCGTGTGGGCGCATTCATGGATTTTATGACTTGGCATCAACTTTGACTGCAGCTGCAGCTCCTAATCCAAACGCTCGACAATCATTTTTCCTGCAGAGCTCTTGCCAATTATGCCAATGTTCACTTTCAATTGTTGTCTCTGTTGTTGTTGTTGTTGTTGTTGTCTTTGCTCATCAGTTGACGCTTTGTCTTTTTATTGCAAAAAACTGCAAAAGCAAATTGTAATTATTTTTCAAGCCCAACTTAAGTGCTGACAGCTTTGACCCGCTCACTGTGGCAATAACACATATTTTTCTTTTATGTGCCAACATTTCTAATTTGGCATTATGTAAGGCTCATGGCAGCAACTAACATGCATTGTAAATGCTCATGTTAAATGTCAAGCTGTGCGTTGAAATATTGCAAGCAAACTTTTTGTTATTGAACAACTTTTGTAATCAATAAATATTGCTTAAACGGATTCCTAAAAGCTGAAGAAATACTTGGTCTAAAATCCAGGCTGTAAACTTGATGCTAAGCATGCGTATAGTAACTTTAGTAATGTTCTTGGCAGCGGCTAACATGCATTGTAAGTGGTAATCAATGTACTTATTGATTAATCCGATTCCTAAAACCTGAAGCCATAGTTGCTCCAAAATCCAGGCTGTAAAACTGTGCCTGGTGTTAAACTTGACATGGCAACATGCATTGTAATTGTTTATGTTAAATGTCAAGTTGTGTATTGAAATATTGCAAATTATTCATAAGTTGTAATCAATAAATACCGTCTAATATGATTCTTAAAAACAGGCTGTTAACTTGCTGTTAAACATGCGCTTAGCTCATTTAAGCTCTTGGCTTATCAAGCTCGGCTAACATGCATTGTAAATATGAATGTTAAATGCCAACGCCAGAGGGCGTCAAATTGTGATGAAATATTGCAAACTAACTAGCTAAATACTGCTTTATAGGATTCTGAAAAGCTTAGCCCGTAGTTGGTTACAAAATCCAGGCTGTAAAATTGATGTTAAGCATGCGCTTAGCTTAGTTAAGCTTTTGGCTCTTCGGTTAACTTTCGATTAACTTTTGAATACACTTTTGAAGACACTTTAATAACTTTTATCCTTCGCGATGTGCACACTAACCGATTAAAGGCAACAGAAGATTAATTTGGTTTTGTTGCTGAAGATGGTTTTTGCTGCTGCTCTGCCGAAAACCGAATGCAAACTACTCTGTGGTCTGGTGCGGCGCATGCACTTTTATACGAAAACCGTTTGGCGTCCCAGCCAAGCTGAACGAACATCATAACTGAGCAGAGGCAAAAGCCGCCAGCGTCGCGGCCAAAGCCGAAAAATAAAGCTTCGAGACAAACACAATGAGCGCCAACATGTTTTCAATTTCGTATTTTATGTAACACCAAATGCACTCTTCAAAGCCGAATCACTCAGCCAGCATCTACATTCAACATGCCACAACAGCAGCAGCAGCAGCCAGCAACAAATAAAACGGCGCTGGTCGTGGCTGAGAGACTAGGCAATACCCTGTGGCTAGGCGTGGGCTGCCGTGATTAACTATTCATACATCTGCTTAGCCCCATGTTCTGGGAAATAAAAATGCTCAGAAAATAAATGTCGAAAATCGATAATTGTCGATCTTTATAGATAAGATCGAAAAATCTCTGAGATATGCTCAAAAAATAAATGCCGCAAATCGGTACTTATCTATATAAATAGATTGAATCGAAAAATTTCTAAAATATGCTCAAGAGATAAAAGAGATATATCAGCTGCCTGTCACACAATTTAGCACAAATACAATATACCCCACTTTACCCATATACAATAAATAAAGGGTATTGCAACAGCAACAACTAAAGGCGCAAAGCCAGGGGCATCATTCGGAAAGTGGCCGCTCGAGCTTTTGTGGTTTTTGCATTGATAAAAACCGACTTCACAGAAACTTGACTCTAGGGGCAAGTTCAGAGGCGGCATCAATAAACAATTGCCAAAAAATTGTATAATTGCGAGCACGGTGCGTATGCTCGATGTGCGAATTGCGTATACGCCTGGGGCGCCACATTGAAAACACATTCATTTGCATTTTTCAATTGTTTATTGTGTCAATGTTAAGATGATGCTGTAGTCTGCCTGCCAGGGATTAGGCAACCGTCGGGGGCATCTCGGGCTTCTTCCAGATGTAACTGGCCCAGGGTATGCACTCCTTGAGCAGATGCATATAGGCCAATCCGTGTGGGCAGTCCACCTCGGTGGCCGGCTTGTCCAGTGTCTCACACAGCCAGTACTTGGCCGGATCGAAGTGATGCGGATACGTTTGCCCAATCTCCGACTCATCCTTGCAGGCCGAGCGACCAGCATCGCCATTTACAGCAACAACAACAACGGCCAAAACGGCGCAAAGTACAAAGACTGTAAATTGGAATTTTGTTATAAAGAATATCTGAGAGATATTTTTTGGCCATATAATAATACTTACCGGCTTTCATTGTTAGCTGTGAAAGTTTTTTGTCAGGTGTGTGCTCTTGCCTGGCGAGAGAACGACATTTATATGCTTCTCCAGCTGCCGGTAAAAAAATTAAATAAAAAACCTAGAAAAGTGAAAACAAAATTGAAAACAAGCGCATCCGTTGATTACGATCTGGACAAGATATTGATAAGATTGATAAGTGCCAACCAGCTAGGACAATTTAGTTACTCAAGTAATTAATGCTTTTTTCTCGCTACTGATAAAGCTGATACAAAAAGAAATAGACGAAAGAGAAAGCCTCGCAACAAGTATTGACATTTATTCCAAACTATTTATATGTTTCAATTGGCAAAAAGAGATAAAAGCTCAGACACATTAAATAATTCAATTAATTAATTAACGAATAGTTCAACTTATTTTGTTGTAGGAATCTCAACTTTTTTAACATTCGATGTACAGATTGTGAGAAAAAGTTAAGCCACAGAAATTATTTAAATTATTTGTGATTAAAAACTTTATTAAAGCGAGATAAAAGAAAAAAAATAAAATTTACCTGCAGCTTTTAATTAATTCAATTGCAATTAATAATTTATTTTGCGAGTAGATATTCAGTAAAAAAAACAAAATGCGTATACCAAATATTTAATTAATTGCAAATTGGTTTGCCAATATTAAGCTGTCCGGCTCGAGGTCAATATTAATTATATTTTATATAAATAATAAGCAAAAAAAAAAAAACAGATTTTAACAGATTTTCTGTTTATCTTCTACATGAATCTTCCGCTGATATCAAAAGCTCTTGACGGTAGAATTGTAAATGTTTTGTATGCTATTCAATCCTTTAATTGGTTGGGAATTATAAGCGTCAGGCAAAGTGTGTTATGCTTTGCTCTTTATATATCCTATTATATATTATACATGAATACCTTAGCTATAGTTCGAATATATATATTTATTCTTGGTATCTGTTGCAGCTTACGTCAATTAGCTGTTATTTAATTTATTATGGGCACAATGAAATTCTAATAAAAATTCCTGCAACTCTTTTGTGATTGACGAGGCATTCAATGCGGCCAGATGGCCATTGATTGGCTCGGCAGACACGATTCCATTAGCATAGCGCCAGGCTAAACAAAGCCAAATTCAACATAAACGAAATGAAATATTTAACAATGAAAGGTGAACATATTAAGTATAAAATCATTATCATGCTGTAATGTGAATTCATTTAAATTGCAAAACAAACATCAACGTTAATTTGTACATATTTTCGTTTTTCTGGATTTGCAAATTATATATTTATCTTTTGTTAACTGTTCATCGTTTTTTTTTTTGTGGCTGACCCCCCTAAAGCGTTTCGGGCCAAACACTTGACCAACATAAATGCTTAAGTGTGGATGCAAAAAATATCACGAAATCAACCAGAGCCAAAAAAAATAAAAAAAACGAAATAAAATACCCAAAAAAAAAAAAAAAAACAGTTTACAGCTAACACATTGATGAAGACAAAAACAAAAAGCCAAAAAATCTATTACAAAATGCTTAAAAAGTAATTACAGTTTCCGCATTGAACTCTGCGACCGTCTGTAGGGCAAGCTTAGGGGCGGGGCGGAGGGCAGCGGACAGGTGTCGCCAAGCAGCAGGTGCCCATGGCGGAGAATTGGTTGCCTACACAAATTGCTGATGCGCCTTGGAGGCAAAGACAGCGCGAAATAGAGAGACAGACCGACAGAGAGAGAGAGAGAGAGAGAGAGAGAGGGGTGGAGAGAGAGAGGGAGAGAGGGATGCTGAGACAATGACTTGGCGAGAGTGTTGGCTACGCAGCTGTTTCCTAGCTAAATATAGCTATTTCCGGAAGCTATAGAAAGTGCTGGCAATTCTGGCTATTTTTAAACTGACTAGCTATTTCGAAAAATAGAGAGAGAGAGAGAGAGAGAGAGAGAGAGAGAGGGAGAGGAGAGAGAGAGAGAGTGAGAGCTATTTAAAAACATTTTTTTGAACATTTTAATAAGAAAGTTTCGGGATGCTTAGATAGATAATGCAGACTTTAAGCACTCATCCAAGCTTGACAATTTTATGCAGCTATTTATAGCTAATTTTTAGCCATTAAATTCAGCTTGTTTGTTTGTGGCGACTGTTGACAACACTTTTTGGCAGACAGCCACAGCCTCTGGGTCAGTTAATTGGCGTTGCGTATAGTCGCTTTTGTATGTAGTTTGTTAAATGCTGCGGCTCAGTTTTGAGCATTTCGTTAAAGACGATGACGAAGATAATTCAAGACGGGGCACGGGCAGGGGCATGGGGGCAGGGGCAGCTCATTATCGATTAAGTGGCTACGCTTTGAGTAAAATCCAATTATTGGAAAGTAGGGAGAGGGAGAGTGGAGGGGGGCGAGGGAAAATGGGGGCAGATTGCACAAGCCGCAAGCCACAACTCACCTGTGCCCAACTGCGAGACATCTTCTATCTTTGATGAGCTTCAAAAATAGCTTGGAAAGGCGAACCAATTTGCAGAAAGTGCTTTTGCTTGTGGAGCGTGCAATTTGGACAAAAACTGATAAGCACCCAACCCAGGCCAGAGAATCCGGTTACGGAATACTATAAATATGCTCCAATTTGTGGACAATTGCAACATTTCCATTGAGTCACGCAACAAAATGCATCAAGGTTCGAGTTGGAAGAAGTCGAGAAAAATCGATTGGAAAAATCTAATTTCTTGCTAATTTCTTGCAGCCACGATCTTCAGCTGCCTGCTCCTGGGCATCCTGGTAACTCTTGCGAGCGCCTACAACGGCCAGGACATCTATGCGGAGCCCAATTGCGCCATTGTCGAGGATCATGCTCGCAAATTCCGTGACATCTCCGATCCGACACATTACTGGGTCTGCCCCGAGGGCCAGGAGAAGGCCGACTATATCCAATGCCCGGACAACTATGCCTTCATGGAGCCACAGCAGGATTGCGTCGTCTGGGAGGAGTGGAAGTGGCTTGAGCCTTATACCAAATAAACAGCGTCTGCGTTGAAATTCCGGCGTAAACGCAGAACACAGAGAACAGTAAACAAAATCCCAACGTGTCTTTATTTTATTTGCTCTTCTTTTGGTTTCTGCTGTCAATTAGTTTTGGCCAACTTTTGATTGGTTTTGACAGGCATCTGTGTGTAAGTTTGTCAGCTGGGTTTCACCTTCCATTTGGTGTCTAAAAAATCAATTAATTATATGCCCAAACTTTGGCATGCTCCTCACATGCCCTCGTCTTCCGCTCCACACCTGCTCGCCAGTTCGCTAGATGCTTATAGAAAAGGTAACAAAAAGTTGCCTAACTACTGGAATATAATAAATTAAGTAAATTATTTTATCTGAAAATTCAATATAATCAATATTGAATTGTTCTTAGTTTTGGCAAGTGCTTTTCTCAGAATTCAAATTACACTAACCCAGTCAAAGCCCAACCATATCTCAGGCATTTGGACATCATTTCCCTGTAAATGAAATATATTTGTCGAAACCCACTTGGTCTAAGACTCACTTTATAATATATTCCGGTCTATTTAGTTTTTCTCTCAAAAATCTTGTGCAAAACTGACAAAAACTTGTATATTCCTAGTAAATGCCCTGCCTAGATCGAAAGTTCCCACAACTTTGTCCATACTAAATGTAGCTTGAAAATACATTGACATTTAGATTCTATATCTGAAATTTAAGCATAGCTTTATCAAAATTGGCCCGATTTTCGTGTGAACCACCTTTGGCTTCGGCTTTAATAAGTAAATAACAATTAAAGTTTATTTTATTGATATATTAGTGTCAATGTCGTATAAGCAAAGTAAACATTAAACGTCATGTCAAATCATATTCCGCCTGTTAAGTTTCCAGACGAATTTTACAAGTAAAATTCCCTTCCCACCCTTGCTAAATTTTAAACAGACATAGCTTCATTCAAAGGTGGCCCGATTTCCGTGTGAACCGGACTATGGCTTGGCTTAAAATCAAAATGAAATATTTATGTGGCATGGCATATAGGTAGTTCGTTAGACGAGTTATGCCAATGGCAATGCGAACATTACTTTGGTGTTTTCGTGTTTGGTTAGATATGGCGGGCATGTCTGATAAACGATAATTAGGCAGTGCGTGTCTCTGTTGCGCTTGTAATGTTATCTAACACCTGCGATTGGCAATCAAAGCTGACGCAGCAGCAGCAGCAGCAGCTACAATCAATCAACTCGGATGGCCCACACGTCTGTGGAGAGATTCATTTGAAGAGCGCACGAGGCCCGGCTGATGACAAGCGCTGCTCCAATTTGGAGCTTAACAAAATATAAATCGTTCATTTCAGTTCGCTTGATTTTCCTTTCGTTTACAAATAAAAGTAAAAACTAACAAATAAATAAAGAAAACGAGAAAGAAGGGCTAGCTACCGCACGCCGAAGATTTAATACCCTTGCAGATCCAACCTTTTCATAATGCTTAGGGAAAATGGGAGATCACACGGACATACGGAAAGATATATCGACTGATCAAGAGTTGTAACCTTGTATGCTTTGCACATTTCACGACAAAACTGTAATACCCTCGGAAAGGGTATTCAAATATATATGTATATATATAGATGAAGCGAAGGCCCCGATAAAGTTGCGCGCTCACATTAAAAGTGAAAAGTACTTCAATAAATTTTTGTTAGAAATCATATTGCCGCAATGCAAACAACTTGTCGCTGCGCTGAGCTCAAGAGGTGCACTCGCTGGCTCGAAGCTGTTGAAGTGTTGATCATCATGAATTTTGGTCATGTTTGCTTTGCGCTCCAATTAGTCTACACCTGAAGAAAGTTGCAAATGGCCTTGACAAGGCCCATCAAAATAAGTAGCAGTAGCAGCTGACAATAGGCCTAGAAACAAAGCACTTGCCACAACACAATACAACTTGCCACAGAGGAAAGATTTCAGCTATTCTCCATCTGCCTCCATCTGTTTCTGGGCTACGTTACCGCACAAAAACAAATCTTTCGCAATTACTTGATAATTGCCAGCTTTATTTGTTGACGTCTATTCATCTTAATTTTTCGACTCGATTGTGCAAATGATAAACAATTGCGAACACAATCTGTAGCTTCAGCTGCAACATTTCATTTCCATTTTAATTTGTACAACTTTAACAAGTATAAATACAAAGTCGTGCTGCTCTCCTTAAATAACCCACAACACGATTCAAAATTGTTTTTAAATGCGATCGAGCATCTTATTCATAAAATCATTCGCCGATTCATCTTTCATTGTCGCAACAACAAGGTTATCAAAGTTGGCAATAGGTTCGTTGGTTAAGCATTTAAATTTGTGCCAAAAAATATAAATTTGCCAACATTATTCTTGGTCGAAACTCATCAAAACTCAAGCGATATTTATAAGGTTTTGCCTCTAGATCAATTTGTCATGCAAATCTCGCAATTTTCTGAATATGTGTATGCATGCATGCAGGCATGTATGTATGTATGTATGTATGTATGTATGTATGTATGTATGTATGCATGTATGTATGCATGTATGTATGCATGTATGTATGTATGTATGTATGTATGTATGTATGTATGTATGTATGTATGTATGTACGTATGTATGTATGTATGTATGTATGTATGTATGCATGTATGCATGTATGTATGTATGTATGTATGTATGTATGTATGTATGTATGCATGTATGTATGTATGCATGTATGTATGCATTTATGTATGTATGTGCGTATTTTTAACTAAGTCCCTTCTACGCGATTCTCATGAGTTCAAGTAAGTCTCGCAGGCTTCACTTTAAGCAGAGGTGGCGGTGCTTCAATATCTAAGGAGGAGGCGGCATCAACTAAGCTGGTGACGGCAGCTCTAATATTAGAGGAGGCGGCTTCAACTAAGGAGGACGCGGCGGCTTTAGTATGGAAGGAGACGGCAGCATAAGCAAAGGAGGAGACAGCGGCAAGTTAAGCGATAGAGGAGGATCCTCTTCTTTAATATTTTAGGAGATGACTTCAACTATCGAGAATGCGGTAACTTAAGAAAAGGAATAAGCGGCGGCTTGAGCAAAAGGAGGAGGCGGCGGCTTGAAATTTTGAGGACACGGTGGCTTTGGCTTTGGCGAAGGCCATTGAAAACTGGTACGTATTAATGATAGGAACTATTTAAATATGTAATAAATATCGCTCTACTATGCAATTCTTACTAATTCAAGTAGGTTTTAACTATTATATCTTTGCTTTTCTGTTCTTTCAGGAATGTGTTCATATAAAAGCCTACTGACTGATGACGATAAAATCATCGAGCGAGTGAATTTACAGGTGAGTACGCAATTACAAATATATTTGCATCTCTATATATAAAATGGGTTGTCCTGGTTGATATGACGGGGTTGTTACCCTCAAATATCCTATATAGACATAGGCCAAAATTTCCCACTCCCATAACTCTGGCAAGGCTGGGTTATTCCCGCTAGTTTATATATATATGTATTTTGTATGCCATTCGCAGTATGAGTTTAACTTATTATTTTGGCATCTTCTTCCATTTTTATAATATTGATATCTGTTTTGTTACATGGCTTTGCTTGGTTTTATCAAATAAGTTGTGAACTCAAGCTTTAAAGGAGTTTGCCATTGATTCACCGGGTAAAGGAAAGAGGAACTAATAACCAGATGAATATTTTGCAAATTCAAATACACCCTTTTCCACTTTCCACTAAGTATAACGAGTGGGTCGGCCAAAATGCAGAGGGCTAGTAAAACCTTAGACGTCTGCTCCTTTCGACCCTATATTAGTAAATATTTATTGTGTTAAGATACAAGATTCACGAATATCGATTATTAAAAAATAAATCGTTCTTTATTAATCAATTGGCAATGAGAAATGTGTACAGCGCTTTTGACTGATGGCTTTGCTGATTACATCGTTGCGGGTCCTGTGTGTATATATAGATGAATTAATGAATGTGGGTCTGGCTGTCAGTCAAAAAAAGACAAACTGACATGTTGCAAAAATGATAAATCTACCAAGTAGACAGGTGCTCCGACAGTTGGCAAAAACAACAAGCCAAATGACCTTTAATCAAAGTGACAAATAAATGCGGAGCTCTTAAATTGGCCCTAAGGCGATCTACCGAATAAAGCACTCAGATATGAAGTTGGCATAGGTCAAAGTTCAGACCACCTTTGTTAGCTTCGAAAATGAACAACCTTTCCAACTTCAATTCCGTTCAAGTTCGTTGCTGACGTAATTTTCAGCTTTCCTCCCACATCAATTGTAGACTCGGGAGCATCTCATCTGCCAGACTTAAATTATTCATTAGTTTTTTTTTTTTTTAAATCCGAATAAATAATTCACATGTCTGGCAAATGCTGCGTATGCGCAATTTATATGTATTAAGAAAGCATTTCCACCCCCAATTAATGGACATGATATGTCACAGGATTAATTAAAATTAAAAGGTAGGCTAAAAGCTTTTTTAAAATCAACTTTTTGACATTTTTTACCTTATACAAAAGTTAAAAAATGTGTAAATATATATATTTAATATATTTGTGAAGGAAATTTAAAATTTTTAAAATAAATTCCAAACTTTAATATAGTTATGAAATAAATGTACATTATTTTAAAATGAATTCAAAACCGCAAAAGTTTAGGCTTGAGAAAATTACATTTTCCGCCTATCCATACAGAAACTTATAAAAAAACTGTCTCGCAAAGAAAAAAGCTGGCTTACTAAAGAAAGTGGAACTGCATCTACATCAACTACCAAAAGCGCTCTAAAAAAAAAGAAAAAACGAAGCAAATGTTTTGTGCATTACAAATGCCCATTGTAGACGCCCGTCCGCCCGCTCGCCCGCTCGGCGAGCTTTCACCACAGTTTCCCCGCTTTGAACAGCTGATGAACAGCTGGAAAGTGCAGAGAACTTGGCCTGGAAGTCCGCTGGCATATCCTACGTCGGGAAGGCGATTCATTCTGACAGGCCAACGATTAGAAGAGACAGCTCCGCCTACATATCAGCTCGTCAAGTTGTTTGCTTGTGTGTGTGAGTGAGTGTATGTGTGTGTGTGTGTGTGTGTTGCTGTAGTATTGGTGACAAGGCCACACCCACGCGGCCATGTTTGAATGAAATGACAGGCTGCGTAGTCGGAGGCGCCAGCAGCAGCAGCTGAAACGAGAAAGTTGCTCGGTCAGCGCCAGAGAGGGGCACGGGGCGCGGGGCGCGGGGCACAGCGGGCAGAGAGAGCCTCAAAATGGACATGAATTTCAAAACGGTACAAAGTGAAAATGGAACATGCTGTATTGAGAATTTAGGTTACACATTTTCAGATAGTTGTTGTTGTTGTTTTTGTTGTTAACTTAAGTAAGGTCATCGAAATGTCAAAAGTTGCAGTTTTCGATTCGACATACACACACACATGCACAGCAATATAAATGCAAGCGCAAAGAGATAAGCACAGGGTGACACGCATTTTGCGTGTTCACAAGTTTCATTTAACAAAGTGTTTGTCGCCTTGTCATATTTGTTGGCACACAGGCACCTATAAATACACACACACACACGCACGCACACCCACACGTACATGTGTGTAGTTGGCAACGACAAATCGCAATTAATTTGCCAGCTTTGTCTGCGTCATCGTTGTCGTCGTCGCCATGACAAAAATACTTGTACGAAAACTTATTGATCGCAGTGTTCCTTTTTTTTTATGCTACCCTTTACCTCTCGCCTGCTCGCTTCTGCTGCGATTTGTGGCCGATTTTCGCCAGCACGCCTTCTTCTCCTTCTCCTCCTCCTGCTTCTCCTCTCTCTCTCTGCTCGCTTACACACTTCAACACTTTCGGCGGCCATTTTGGTGGCGATGTTCCCGGTGGGCGCCTTAAAAATTCCACCACTCGTGCGACACACACACACACACACATGTATACAGAAGTTTCTCAATAGATATTTGTTGTTCCGTTTTCGGCCTGGCATTGCTCGTCTGTTTTGTCTTATTTGATTTTAATCTCTCTGCATCTCACTCACTCTCTCGCACTTGGCTGGCTTGTTCTGTTCTCTTCTTCTTCCACTTGCTCTCTCACATGCTCGTCACTTGGTTGGCTGTGCCGGACGTTAGCTTAATTTATTTATTTTAATTTTATTGATATTATTCTGTTTGCGCTGATTCTATTATAATACTGTATGCCCAGCATCGTCCGCATTTTATGCATTACGAGCTGCCCATTGACATTTAAGTGTTGTAAAATTGCATTAGATATTCTCTTTTGCCTTTTCCCTACTTTCATAAAACTGCAGCTTGTATATTTCTATATATATACATATATATTCCTATATATATTCTGTATCCAAGCGACCACGTTTTAAGCACAGGGAGCTGCTCATTGACTTTTAAGTGTTGTAAAATTGCATTAGATATTCTCTTTTGCCTTTTCCCTAATTTCATAACACTGCAGCTTGTATATTTCTATATATATATATATTCCTATATATATTCTGTATCCAGGCGACCACGTTTTAAGCACAGGGAGCTGCTGATTGACTTTTAAGTGTTGTAAAATTGCATTAGATATTCTGCTTTGGCCTTCTTCGTGCATCCATACAGCTTAGATACACAAAAATGTTAGTATAAATATAAGTTAATGTGACATTTAATATTAGTGCTTATTGTCCTCTGGGTTCTGGAGCTTTAATCAATTAATTGTAACTTAATATACTGAATGTTTTTATGGCTAAATGTGAACAACGCTGATGGAACTCGATTCCAGTCCAGCGCAAATTACCATCTAACCCTTCACCTCTGTCCCCTGTCGAGGTAACAAATGCCAACGAGCCACAGCTCGTGTTACTCTTGCGTAATCTTCTTCTATTTGCTGCAGGTGCCAACGATACGGGCATCATCCACATTGCTATCATGGGGAGATTTGCCCAAAGTTAGGCATTAGAATAACCTGAATAAAGATATATATTGTGGCTGCAAATCCAAAAGAAATTGATGTGAGTTCCTTACAAGGCACAAGAAGAAATCGAATGCATGAATATATATATTTACGCATATCTATATATATATATGTATATATCTGTATATCTGCATATTTGTGTACTTAATGATAACTTGCTTACCAAATTTAATGCATCAATATTTTATATATAAATATCAAATGTTTAGCTCCCATATTTACACATAAGCAGTATACCCTTTAAACGCCTCTTCAATTGGTACAGGGTATACGGAAAATTAGTTTATATATTATATTATATATATACATATATATAATGTATTTAAATAGAAATAAAACCGATTTTAGGCCTTACTTTTCAGGCCTTAAGCAGCGTGAAATTCAGCGGAGTGTACGAAATTTGACAAAACATTACATTTTGAGTGCCCCATTTGAAAGTACCTGTCATTTTTTGGCATCAAAATCAAGTCAACCCATTTGGAATCAACTGCAGAGCGCAGTTTGCTGCTGGTGCTATCAAATGTTGCACTCTGGGGGGGCGCTTCGGGGTTCTCAGCCCAGCTCCAGGAGCAGGAAGCAGGAAGCAGGCAGAGATTCCTGGCAACGACCACCCGCTGTCTATCCAGCTGTCAATATCAGGGTACGACAGGATCAACAACAACAAGAAGATGAAGCCGTAACCGAAGCAGTACACAAATATTTTATGGAAATAATAATTTAACACAACTTTGAGGTACGAGACACGTTTTCAGCTTCAGTTTCAGGTTCAGGTTGGAGCAATCCAATTAAGCCAGTCGACCAAGGTGTGGGTTAGTTATATTTTTAAACCCAGGCAATCGGCCATATATCGTATGTGTATACACTCACACCCACACACATATGGGTATAAAAATCGATAGATTGTAGGCATAACGAGCAGGCGAAGGCGTTTTTTACCTTGGCCACATCAACTCAGCCCAGTTCCAAGACCCAAGGCCCAAGGCAGTTCCACAACGTGATATTTTACAAGTGTTGCTTTTGTTGTTCCTTGTTGTTGTTGTTTTTACTGGTGGTGGTTGTGGTGTGCTTCTGGCAGGGGGCGTGGGGTTTGGGCACTTTGTGGGGGTTGGTCGTGTAGTCTGTTTTACGGTTCGGCAACGTTCGAACAGATGCCCAGAACCCGTCCATCTAATTACGAAAAGGCGTACTTGCCCAAAAATATGCTAGTGAAGGGAGTATTGGCTAGCTCATGGAATATGCAGCTAATACGGAACATATAATATATAAAGCGTCTGTGAAGCGATCTTTAAATTAGATCACGACCAAGAGCTGAGAGAATCTAGTTAACTGAGCTAGAGACTCGAAATGAAAGTACTTAATAATCTTTGGCTAGAGACTTAAAATAAGAATATTTAATATTCTTTAAAAATAGAAATTATAAATATTTATAGAAATTATAGCAGAGATCTACAATTTCTATAATTCTTTTTATATCAATTTTTTATAATTTATTCAAAAAGGTTTTAGCTAGGAGTTTATAAGACCTGGAGTTGCCCGTTTTGACATGTTTTTTATCGAATGGTATATATAGATTTTATATATAGTTTTTTAAAGATATCTATTTTATATAGATATCTCGTGATACTTTTGGAATACCTTGTGCTGCGGTTATTCTTTTCAAGCTCTTAAAAGATTCTCAATAATATCGGACCATATGATCCGAGTGAAAATTCACAGTCTGTGGCAAAGGGAAGAAGCAGCACAGCCCAGGAAGAATGCGAGGGCCGGAAAGCATCACCAGGCCAGGCTCTATTTTTTTCAGTTAAAATATTCATAAAGGGTATATTAGCTTCGGCTCGGCTTTGTTTGTCCGCTGCGGCTGCCAACTGCCATGAAATAAATTCATAATTGAAAATAAACATTGTGGAATGCAAATTAGACTTATATCGTTTGCGTATTCGCCCAAATGTTCTTTTGCTAATTCATGTTTGATAACCAAGAATTGTCGAGGCAAACAGACTTAAGCTTCACACTTATGCCCTGACAGTTTTATTGCTCAGCTCATTCTTGACTTGTTTTATAAAAAGTGTCACATTCCTCACATTAAAACAAAAGATTAATTCCACGAGTTTATCTGCGCGTGGCTCATCAAATGTCATCCCATTTGGTTAATTGCTGTACGGAGTCTTTAGAGCCAAATAATTAGCGGCGAATTAAAATTACATTAAATTTAAGTGCTGTGTAAATCGATCGTCAAAGCTGCCAGAGACAGAGATATTTCTATTTATACTACAAATGTAAAGTTTTTAACATTATGTTAAGCTCTTAACATAATTTTAAAATGATTGTAAATCAATCGGAAAACCCAAGATAATATGCTCTTAAGCTTTTAACATGCTCCGCAGCTCTTCTAGAAATTTTAATGCTTTTAACATGCTGTTAAGCTTTTAACATGCTGTTAAGCTTTTAGCATTATGTAAAATACAAATGTCGAGCAAAAGAGACAGAATTAAGACACATTTTTTATCTTATGACAATTTCTTTAAAATTATTTAAAGTTTTTAACATTATGTAAAGTAAAAATGTAGAGTAAAAGAGCCACAATTGGGAGACATGACGATTTCTTTATTTGAGAATAATATTGTTTTGATTGGCATTAATATAGTTAACATTTTAAGTACAGAGAGCAATGCAGTGTTTTCTTTGCATTTTGTTCTAATATAATCTAGAACGTATTTCCTTTGAGTGTGAAACCTGCGCCTGCCTCCTGTATTTTGCAGCTTCGAGTTCGAGTTATATATAGCTCGCTTTTGGTCTTTTGTGGGCAGTAAAGGAGCTGCTGTTGTTGTTGTTGTTGTTTGGTTGCGTGTCTTGTGCACATTTTGTGTGTTGTTGTTTTTTTCAGTGGCTGCTTTTGGCAATGCTGCGTCCCACGCCCACGCGTCTTGGCCGCGGGCAAAATAACCTTGTTTCCAACCACTTTCCGAGCCGAGTGCGACGACGTCTGTGCCATATAATTTTGCCTTTATGTACGGTTATGTATAAAGTCGGGCTGTGTGCTTTATATTTAAACAGCACACGCACACCTGCTGAGGCACACCTTGATTTACCTTGCGCCCAGCGGGCGGTAGGCGTGGCAGTTGCTCCGTATCCGCCCCCATCTCCTTCTCCTTCTCCGTCCTGCTGCGCTTATCGATCGTCTGTGGAACGCACTGCACATTGCAAGTTTTTCCTATATTTTCCAAATTTTCACAGGGAAATAGTGTTGGCTGGATTCCGCACACGTAATTGCTTTTACGTGGCCAAAATTTGAAGTTGCGCTCTGATTGTGGACTTATGTATTTTAATGGAGCTCCATTTTTAAGCACAATTCTGGGTAAAGTCTCTCACGGACTTAACACTTTGCTGGCTCAACTTGTGCTAGGCGGATTTCCAAGTAATTGTTATTTACATACATAAATAATATGAAATACAAGTCTCGCATTCGATATGCACCAGGGCCAAATGGCCCACCTTAGCCTTGGCTGGACTTTTATTTTAGTTGTGACCAGTTTATGAATAAAATATAATAATTGTATAATGGGCCACAATTCATTCCGTTTTCTTCTACAAATGCCCATTACATTTTGTTCTAAGCCTAGCAAACGAAATAATGTGATTCTTTAATAAGTAATTTGTTATTGAATCAAACGGAAAATGTGTAATACCAAGTCTGCCCAGAAGAATAAATGGGGGAGCAAGGTATAGTTACGAGTATTTAACTTATAAGTCGAACCAAATCTGCGTCTCGTCTTTCACATCAATTTTTATACCCTGAACCCATTAAAAATGGGTATAAGGGTATATTGTATTTGTGCAAAATCCAAATGTATGTAACAGGCAGAAGGAAGCATCTCCGACCCCATAAAGTATATATATTCTTGTTCAGCACCAATAGCCGAGTCGATCTAGCCATGTCCGTCCGTCTGTCTGTCCGTCCGTCCGTCCGTCCGTCCTTCCGTCCGTCCTTCCGTCCGTCCGTCCGTCCTTCCGTCCTTCCGTCCGTCCGTCCGTCCTTCCGTCCTTCCGTCCGTCCGTCCGTCCGTCCGTCCGTCCTTCCGTCCTTCCGTCCGTCCGTCCGTCCGTCCGTCCGTCCGTCCGTCCGTCCGTCCGTCCGTCCGTCCGTCCGTCCGTCCGTCCGTCCTTCCGTCCGTCCGTCAGTCCTTCCGTCCGTCCGTTCGTCCGTCCGTCCGTCCGTCTGTCCGTCTGTCCGTATGTATGAACGCAAGGATCTCAGAACCTATAAGAGCTAGAGACTGAAATTTAAGATGTAGATGCTCCTAGTGCCTGCGCAGATCGAGTTTGTTTCCGATAATCGATAACTTCCTCCGTTTCCAAGCAATCGATAAAAATCTATATCGATATCCTGTTTTTTGGGCAATTTTGGTAAATAATAAGAGAGTCACCAAACTTGACATATTGCTTCTAAAATAGAATATATATATGCATCTGATGTTAGAAGAAGAGGGTTCAGGGTATCCCCTAGTCGGGAGCTCCCGACTAGAACCTCTTACTTGTTAATTTATATTTTTTTAATGCCCGTTTTCTTGAAAATATTGTAATTCATATATATAACAATAGAGAAGAAGCGGGCTATATTTATTTTTGTATTTATTTATTTAAGTAATTACTTTTTCAATGATTAACAAATTTTTTTATTTATTTAGTTATTTATTTAATTATTTATTTATTTACTTATGTTCAAATTATAAAAATTAAATACTATAAACCTAATTAGAATACGCAATTTTCCAATAGCATCTCCGACACGATGAAGTTGTGTTATTTGCCCGTCCGTCCAGCTAATTCCCTCCCAAAATTGGCATATCATATATGCTTAGATATATGCCATGATTGGGGCCCAAGCTATTTAAGCCTGTGACTTGGTTCTCTTCAACGATTTTACTTATTAAAGAAGTAAATAAAGTAAGTAAGTAAGCAAAGAACTTGCATGTTTTAAAAAGCGTAAAACTTTTCAATTCAAGCAGAAAATTGAGTAATTATAGGTGTTAAGGTGTCTGAAAGAAGAAATTCGTTTTTAGGGCAATTTGTAATGAGATTTTCTCTAACTGCAACTCTATTTGCCTTGATCTCTTTTAGATCTAAGAGTAGAGCACATTCTGGCTCATTTTGGTAAAATGAATTCTTTTTAGTTTTTTAAGGGCAACCTTTGTCACAGCTCTTTGTGGCAAATCAGAGCACAAAAGCTGTGGCATTTGAGCTCGGGAGCACAAGTTAAATCTTAATAAATTGCAAAAAAGTGCCCGCAAGTGATAAATGACAAAGAAATTGCCAAATTTGTGCGACATTCGACAAGAGAAAAGCCCACTAGAAGACAAGGGGGAGGGTTCGACAGCGATTGGCATAGACTGCAGCTGCAGTGCAGTTGACCTCCGACCGCAGATATTAATCAGGACTCGCCACAATTCAGGGCGAGGGAATTTTAGTTTATTTACCTGTGGAAATGAAAAGAAACCTGAAAAATGATATCTTTATGCAAGTTGCTGAAAGATATTGCTTCTTATATAAGCGCCAAAAAGTATGCTACGACACATGAAAATAAGAAGAAGAAGCGGTACAAAAAAAAAATATATTAAGAAAATATATAGACAGGTGAAAATGGATTTTCTTGAGCAATCTGTATTATCATAAAGCATGATAAAATATAAAAGAAATTAACTACAATAACAACAAATATTTGTACGAGAGCCAAAAAGTATGCTACGACACATGAAAACAGAAGAGGAAGAGAAACAATGAAAAAACAGCATATATAAAGAAAAATGCCTAGACAGGTGAAAATTGATTTTCTTTTGCGTGGGCAAAAACAAAACGCGAGCCAGAGGCAAAGGCAAAGGCAAAGGCAAAGACGGCGACGACGACGCAGCGCGAATAGAATTTTATTCAAATGTGCTCAACTGTGCGAACATAATGTGCATGGGAAAAGCGCACGCAGGCAGAGGGGCGCCCGGACGGGTGTAGTGGCAGAGGGGGAGGGAGGGGGAGGGAGGGGGGGGGCTAAGCAGCCAGGCAGCCAGGCAGCCAGCCAATTGGTTGGGCTGCCGAATGGAGGCGCATGCGTCATGTCCTGCGCCGTGGAAAACGCACGGCAGACGTTCAGCTCTGAGCTGGAATTCCAGGCTGAATACCGACAAAAATGTAACGGTAACGGCAGCAGCGCGAACGGCAAACAGCGCCAGACAGAAGTTACCTTTGCTCCTGCCCGGACGACACAACGCACGCTGCCAATTGCTGTCGTTGTCGTCGGCCGCCCAACAAAAAAAAAAAAAAAAAACAAAATAGAACTGAAAATTCGAGGAAAAACTTGCTGTTTTTGGTGCAAAAAAATTTAACGAAAAATTAATAAAAATATAAAACGAATTCTCAAGCGGGCAAAACGGGCTCCGGGCGTGTTTGTGTACGGGCTTCTTCTGCAGTGTTCGGTGTGTGGCTTTTCCTCTGTTGGTTGGTTTTACATAACACGGCAGGCGAAAATCTAGCCGAGCTTTGCCTTTCGCATCCTGGTCAAGACGAGCATCTCCGCCTGAAACGTGGCGTCCAACGAGGCCAACAGCAGCGCCGCGGGCAGTGGCGCGGAGTCGGCCGCCCTGTTCTCCAAATTGCGTAGCTTCTCGATTGGCAGCGGGCCAAATTCGCCGCAGCGCGTTGTGTCCAATTTGCGCGGCTTTCTCACCCACCGCCTCAGCAATATCACACCGAGCGATACAGGTGAGACACATAACTGTCCTGCATAAATCACACAGAATATTCTACTATAAGTCCAGCTCTTACATAACCTGACAATCGCCTGGGATATTCGCATTTAATTAAAATTAAACAACTTCTCACATGCAAACACTGCAAGTGTTTCGTCCTCTAGCACACACACACACACACACACACACACACACACTCACACACGTACATGACACACACATGTACTCACACACACACACTCTCACCTACACACTTGCTACATTTCCCAAGGTGTGGATAGACACACATTGCTTTATGGCCCACATGTACAGCTCGTTTCGTTTCCTTTTGTCGGTGGAACGAAATGGGAATGGAACATTTACAGTTGGATTTCTAACGTGACAGCGGCGAGAAGCGTCAGCGCTTCTTGCTCTTATGTAATCTATATCTGAGAATATTATTTGGGAAATCAAATTGAAAAATAAAACAACAAACTTTCGATTAATATTATTTTTATTATTTTAAGAGTTATATTTCTAATTGTAAATATTTGCATAAATTATTTAGAAAAAAAATTTTTTTAAATTCGAAAAAACTTCCCTGAGAATCTTATTAGTTGTTTCTAAAATTGAAAGTTTTGTAGAAATCGGGAATTAATTGAATTATATTGCTGACAAATATTTAAATTTGCTTTTGAAATATTTAAATTTGTGATTTATTTTTAAATAAAATAAACTTTGGATTAGAAAAATTGACATTTTCAGCTTTTAGTTGGCAGAATACTTACAGTTTTTCTTTTTCAAGTAGTTTCTAAAACATTTCACCTTAATAAATAAATTTTGAAAAAAATAATAAGAATTATATTTAGCAACTATTCAGAATTTTTTAAAAACATTCGGTTATAATTTATTGGAGTCTAGTTTCCTTTTATGATACTGCAAATAATTTCTCGAGAAAGTTTATCTTAATTATTTAATCCTCGAAAATAAAAATATGCATTTAATTTCAATCAAGTGGTTTTTTAGAGCATCATTTCTTAATTTTTTAAATTTTGAAAAATAAATATAAATGATATTTAAAAACAATTAAAAATGGTGGAAGATATAGGATTATAGTTAAAACAGAAAATACGGCATTTATATTATCTTAATTATTTAAATCTCTAAAAAATGGGTATTTAATATAAATTAAATATATATTTTAAAAAACACTTTAAATATATATATGTATATTATAAGGTAAACTTTTAAAGCCAATTGCACTTTTCAAAAGAAAACTAAATTATGAGATTGCAAAAGCTAATTAAATTTGTGTGTGTCGTGTTTGTGGTTGCTCGTTAAATCATTAAAAGCTGAAATTTTCTTTGGGGGCGTGGCAAAAATATCTCTTAGCAAACTTTTTGAAGAAGGCAGACACCTGAGCAAAGAATTTGCCCGGTTGCTGCTGCTGCTGTAGCTGCTGCATAATGAAGCCAATAAATATAAATTTGCCACACAAACACAAACACACCAATACACCAATAAATACGTGTGTATATGTGTGTGCGTGTAAGGACAGGGCGAGGAATGCCTCGTCATTAGATTGTTTGCCTTGTTTTCCCGTTGTAGACGCGTTTGTAACGCTGATGTGTTCATCGCGGTTGCTTGTCAAAACAAAAAGGGGGAGGCAGGACGATATACGCAGGGGTTGGCAGGGACCCCAGCAGGACGCTGAGACAAAGCACGCTGACAAAGGAAGGTAGCTCCGTAATAAGCCAAACGAGAAACAAGTAACGCATTTGTCTAGATGCTGCCTGATAAAACGAACGACCCGCCCGACCAGGCCAGACCAGAACAGAGACCGCAACCAGCAGCAGTTCGAGGGTTGAACCGGATTGGCAAGCAAACAGAGTGCCCGGCTAGCAGATACCCTGTGCCAAGCCTAGACGAACATCGACTCCGCCCGACGCTCTAAACGAGAATATGGAGGAGTTGCAGGCTTGAAGATGCCTCCTTCCTTACTTTTCCCTCAACAACTTCACACAAAAACAATCTACCCTTCTTGGTATTTTTAGCAAGTACTTGGAGGAAAGGTACTGCTTGTGGGCAGCAGCCGTATCAAAAGTCGTAAAAGTTGTTAACCGGGCGCTGATGGTGTTTGTTGATTGGAAGGCATTTGCAGCGCGACAAATGTTCACATTTCGGATGCTTAAAGCTTGCCGTGTGATAAGCCCGAAGAAATGCCATTAATCAGACTCGAACTAAATTAACCAGACTAGGTGAACAAAAAAGAAGAAGAATGTCTAGCACAATATGAATGTAGTTCAGCAAATGCCGAACATAAAGGTAATTTATTTGGCAATAGACGCTGGCCAAGTTATTTACGAGCAAATCAATTTGTAAGCAAAGTTGGTTCGAGGCATATCCTAGAAAGAATGGGGGACGAGCAGAGGTTGTATACGATTCTGGCCACGCCCAGTTAATGTTTTGATTTATCGTGCGTGCAGCTAAAGAGGCCACGTATACGCCTCGTGTCGCCATTAGGGAAAATGGAGAAAAAGCAATTATCTCTGGATGATCGAAGACTGAATACCCTAAAGAAAAAAGGATAAATAATTGATGCTCAACTATTGTTCCTAGTCCTTGACCAAGCTTGTAAAGGTCAACTGAGGTCAAATTTATTGATTGATTGAAGGTAACTTGAGCTTGACTAAGATATATATTTGTTATTGTTTTATAGTTTCTGTGGATAGATGGTTAGATAGATAGATAGAGAGATTATATAAATATACATCTAACGTTCCATTTCCGCGTGCATAAAATAGTTGGATCTCTCCCAAGCTATATCAAGAAAGTCTTGGAACTGAGAGATTGCTCAACTTTAGATACTCTCCAAGAATATATATAGCTTATCTTAAGAAACTCTCCAAGAATATACTTTTATTGCTTATCTTTAGCTACTCTCCAAAAATATATATAGCTTATCTTTAGAAACTCTCCAAAAATATATAAATATATATATGTATATATATATATAGTTCTAAAGAATAAACTCTCCAGGAATAATATATAGTTTTTGATTGATATGATGAATAAGTAAATTTAATGACAAAGTCGAAATAACCTTAGTGTAGGGTATATTAACATTTCTCCATTTTCCCCAACCAACTTCGGTGTAATGTTCATGCTTTATATTTACGATTATGGAGGCGAGAAAAAGTTGCTTAGCCCAACTCCTCGACCCTAAGTCGGAGCCAGATCTGGTTTGCCTTCGAGCTAAATGGCTGCGCATCTCTGGGGAATTGATAAAAGCCATTTTAGGCTTGGAAACAACGGGGATAACAACAACAGGGACAACAGCTGGGAATAGCCATTTATCTAGAAACGTTTCGTGCATGAATTTTGACAGCTTCGGGCTCCTTAAAAGTTTTGCAATTAAAATATTTTTTGCAATATTTGGCGTTGGCTTTTTTTAGACTGGCTCGCAAAGGCAATTTGGCTAACCCAATTGCAGGTGAAATGCAATGTGAAATCGATAGGGTCAAAGCCGAAGACAAGACAATTAAACTTGAAACACAAAACACAAACGAAAAGAAAGACGACGGCGGCGGGGAGGATGACAAAAGAAGCGCTTGAGTGACAAAAGGGGGTTACGGCTAAAGCCAAAGGGCGTTTGTTAATCGATCGAAGTTGTGGGCGGGGCCACAGTTGGCCACGGCTAAACACGGCTAGCCAGGTAGTTAATTAATCGAACATAGCCCACAAATTACACGCACATGCATCTGCTTCACATGCGATTAATCAATGAATGCGCCCGAAATTAGGCAACACATATTTCTCTAGACACTGGGCGCCATAAATATGCGCACGCCTCAGCGAACTCTGACAATTGCCACAGCGACAACCCTTGCCCCGACCCGGCACTTGAGCAAAGCAGCTTACAACACTTGCAGAGTGCTCGTCGAAAGGGGCTGAGAGCTTGCCCCCTGTGCGTGTATGTGTGTGTGTTTGTGTGTGTGCCTGTACAATAGCACACTTGTAAGGATTAGCACTGCCTTTTTTGTCGGCCGACTTGGGAAAGTGGGCTTATCATAAATATTATGATTGGTTTTTCCTATTCCGCTTTGGAGACTGCCGCCAGAGTTGGTAAATGAATTTATTGTGGGCCTATTTATACAATGTAATGGAGAAACAAATATTTTAAGCCTATATTTTAATGTATTTTTGCTTATTGATTCTCATCACTGAACACTATTCTTCGTATTGACAAACTTAATTAATATACATCATATTTTTCATCAAATGTTTATTCCATTTCAAAATACGCTTGTTTCCCAACGTTAAACATAATTTTTTAGTGTTGAAAAACGTATCCATTGTTAAGCGTTTTATACAGTTTAATTGAGAACAAAATGTAAGTTGTTCCCAAATATTTTTGAATACTGCTTTCCAACACTGTACACAATATATTTTATTACAACATCTTTCCAATACTAAAACGATATTTTGGTGTTAAAAAACGTATTTATTGTGTATGGTATATATTAAACGCAATATTCCGTGTTGGAAAACGAATACATTATATATAATATTTGTACAGTTTTATAGAGATTTTGGATACTGCTTTCCAACACTAAACACAATATTTCGTGTTTACAATTTTTCTACAATTTCACAGAGATATGAAATGTGCATGTAACCTATTTTATTGTGAAAGACTACTTTCCAACACGCAACACAAACCGTTAGTGTTGGCAAACGTTGATATTGCATATTTAATTTGCACAGTAAGATTGAGAAATAAAAATGTTAAGCCTGAGCCGTCTGCTTTGTGATATTTGCAATATTTTATGTACACCTTTTGCAAAGATGAAATTGTATTTTACGCTGATTACCTTGTCGGACAGGCACGCTCCTCCAGACACGTGCAGAAAATGCTAGCAGCAAGAAATAAATGTAATTTCATTTTGATGCCCTGCAGCTTGTAGAGTGTGGGGACTGCACAGCCCGAGCTCAAGCTGTCTGTTTATTTTCTTTTAATAGCGAACTGCTGTGAACTTCCCAGAGAAACAGGAAAAGTCGGCGATTATGCAGACTATATATTTCAAGGTGAACCAGCTGAACATTTAAAGCTGCTTGCACTTAAGCCTTAACCATGAAGTTAGCTGGGAAAACTATCCGCAAAGCAATATATATATTTTTCGCAGCGCCTTTTGCGGCAGGCAGCTCAAATTACATTTGACGATGGAGACTGGGAAAAGTGCACTTTGGGCTTTATCGAGTTGTCGGCGAATAGATTGAATTTCCACAAACAAGGCGAGGTGAGCTGCTTAGCTTTCATTTCTTCAAATGCTACAAATTGAAGCAGCAGCAGCAAAAGATCCTGTGAACGTTTTATAATCGAAGCAGATGCAGAGTTTATGCATAAAAGATGAATACCCTGGCTGACTGGCTAATTGGGGCAGCTCGGGATGCTCGGGAGGCTGTTGCGCAAATATGAAAAGGAAACCAATGATAATGAGCCCCAACAAAGGGCCGCAGAGCTAAATTTCATGTTGGGCCAAAATAAAGTACAAAATGTTATATCACTGGGAAATGCGTCAGCTGGGCCGAGTTTTGCCAGTCAGCGCGGAAAAAATCAATAAAATTATAAAGGCGTAAATATAAATTGGCGCTGTTTGATGTTCAACATGGCCTTTAATAATCCTCCGGCCCCCGGGCTTGCTGCCAGCTCTCGCTCCTTATTATAGCCACACACACGTTTCTGCACTTGACTCGACCAGCGACTGGGCCAACCCCTGGTTCTGATGAAAGCTCCGCGTGCAGCCAACCCCAGGGTCAAGTACAACAACCCACCTGGGCCGGGCTAACCTCCTGTTTGTTGTTGTTGTAGTTATGGGCACAAAAAAACCAAAATTAAAGTCTTTCAATGCAAAACGAGAAAGAAGGCCTATGTTCGGCGTGCCGAAGATATAATACCCTTGCAGACAGTGCTTTGCCCGTATGACGTTCGGTCAAGATATCTTGAAAAGCAAAAAAGTTTTCTATACAACAACTTTATTTTTAACCGATCTATGGAAGCTATATGAGACAGTAGTCCGATATTGATAGGATTTTGTTAATATGGGAGAAGCATAATAAAACTAATAAGTGCCAAGTTTCGTCAAAATATCTTAATAAACAAAAAACTTTTTCATACAAGAACTAGTTTCGACAAATAAACTGCCTGCAACAGAAAGAGAGACTTCTGCAAAGTTTCATAAACATAGCTTTAAAATTGAGAAACTAGTTCAAATATAAAAAGGCAGATGAACTGATATATCGACTCGGCTGTTGATGCCGATCAGGAATATATATATTTTATGGGGTCCTAGTTGTCTTTTTCTACAGATTACAGATTTCACGACAAAACTATAATGCTCTCTGCAAGAGTATAATAACAGGGAAACATGCTTCACACACACACATAGACGATAATTGACTCATGTGCTAGCTTAACGGCTGGCAATGCCGCCCCCGATCAGAGCAGCCCCTCGCCCGCTCCCCCGACCCCCTCAAGACAGGCGGCTGGGGAAAAACCAACACAACCAACACAACCAACACAACAACACACGAACGTGCTCATGAAAATTTAATGATAAAACGAAATGTTATTCCAGCGTCTCGCATATACCAAAGGCCCCGCCAGACAACATTTTTCCGGGGGTACTTTTATACCCTGCACACGTAAGGTTTTTATGTTTGTCTATTTGGGGTTGCAGCCCGTCGAGCTGCTAGGTAGATAAATGTTGAAATTAGATCAGCATTGATAGCCCGGGCCTGGGAGAGCAGACAGTTGTGCCAGACAGTCAGACCCAGATAAAATCCATCAAAAAGTAACTAATTCTAAAATGTTTCAAAGTGAGATAATGGAAATTGTGGCTAGAGTCAATCAACATTAGTAGAATAATAAATTCTGCCGAGCTAGACGACAGAAAATGAATTCTTGATTAATTTTGGGTTCTACCTTTCGACCTTTATAAAATTTACAGGGTATGCCTATGGCATATGCACTTGGGATGCATGCCGATGTGTTTACTTTAGAAATTTAAACTTTATTTGAATCTGTATTTCCAAAAAAGACTTTCAAGGGGTGAGGGTATAAAAAATATGGTGGAATACATTTTAAGTATACCCTAAATAATATGTCAATGCAGCAAAGGGCATATACTTTTACTATACCCAAAATTATCTGGCAAAAGCTCAGCTTGGTTTGGGCTGTGCTTTATGTTCTTGATTATTCAGTTCTTGTGGCTCGCGTGTTATTTAAGAGGTGCTTCGCTGTGCTGAACCGTGTGGGCTTTTGTGTGGGACAAAGCAATGATTACGTGTAATTACAGGTCTCGAGTGCGGCCACGCGACTTTCGAGGGCTCTCCTCGAACTAACCCCCAAAAGCGAGCCGTGTGATTATTAAAGTCTAGCAAAGCCCATTGAGTATATTTAATGCTGCCGGGCACTTGGTTTGAGCACATTTTGTGCACAATCCAATTAAAATAACTGCTTCTGTATTTGCATTGAAATGAATATTAAATACCTAAATTAAAAAATATATTTTTGGTATTTGTTTTATGATTGAAATGTGTCAATTGCTGTGCAACAAAAAAAAAAAAGAAGAAATATCTCGATCTACTTGTCCTATGTAAATGTGTGTGTCGAAATTGTGCTAAAGCTGTGTTAACTAATTTTAACAATACACATTTTTTTGTTCACCAGCAGGCAACCTTTTTGCAACACAGAAACAACATTTCAATCATAAAAGCAAATTACAAAAAATATTTAAATAAAAAAAAAACAGAAAATTATGTTAACAAATCAAATAACTACTGTGCGAGAGAATAAGAAAATAAATAAGAAAAAACTAACGAAATCTTGTTTCTGTGTCGTTAAAGGTTGTTCTCTGGCAATCCAACAACAACAACAACAACACGAAATCATGTAAAGGTCAGCAGAAAGTGCAACTGCAACAAAGAAGAGAGTTAAGCATCAAAGCAGCTCAAAGCAGGCAGTTCAGAACAAGCAGCACGGAGCAAGCAGCTCGCAGAGCTGGCAATTAACGGAAACGGAAGCGGCCATATTGCTGCTCAATTTCCGGTTGCTCGATATCCGGCGGCGGACATGAAATTGCAGAGCGCCAAAAAGCAACAATAAAACCGAAGTACAAAAGAAAAAGAGAGAAGAAACAAGAAAAGGGCGAAAGAAAAAGGAAGAGAGAGATAAAAAATAAGAGAAAAGAAAAGCAACAAGAAAATTAAAGAAAAAAAAATCCGGAATAAAGCAGAGCAAAGAAAAATGGCCTCATTTCAAATACCGCTCATCAATCTGGAGGTGGGCGAGGTGAAGGAGATTGTCTGGGAGAAGATCAGGGAGCCGGTGAATCAGCGTCGGCTCATTCTGGTCATCGTATCGATTGCCCTGCTGCTGGATAACATGTTATATATGGTGATTGTGCCGATTATACCCGACTATCTGCGCGAGATTGGCAGCTTCGATGATGGGCCGACGCCGCCGCCGTTGCGCGACAATGTTACCGGCCGGATAATACCGGTACATCATGATCATCATGGCCAAGACTCGGCGACGGGCATACTGTTCGCCTCCAAGGCGATTGTCCAGCTGATGGTGAATCCGTTCTCGGGCGGTCTAATCGACAAAATTGGCTACGATATACCCATGATGATTGGGCTGACCATCATGTTCTTCTCCACGGCCGTCTTCGCCTGCGGCACCAGCTACAGTGTTCTCTTCTTTGCGCGCTCCCTACAAGGCGCCGGCTCCGCCTTTGCGGACACTTCAGGTCTGGCCATGATTGCGGATCGTTTTACGGAGGAGAACGAGCGCTCTCAGGCGCTGGGCATTGCGCTGGCCTTTATCAGTTTCGGCTGCCTGGTGGCGCCACCTTTTGGTGGAGCGCTCTATCAATTTGCCGGCAAGGAGGTGCCGTTTCTTATACTTGCCCTCGTCTGCCTGCTGGATGGCCTGATGCTGTTGCTGGTCATGAAGCCGTTCAAGGAACAGATCAAGATGAGCAAGGAGGTCCAGAATCAGGTCATACCCATCTGGCGCCTACTCATGGATCCGTATATTGCCGTTTGTGCCGGCGCCCTGACCATGTCTAATGTGGCGCTCGCCTTCCTGGAGCCGACCATCTCGCTGTGGATGGAGGATACGATGACAACGGAAAACTGGAAAATCGGCATGGTCTGGCTGCCCGCCTTCTTTCCGCACGTGCTGGGAGTAATAATTACGGTGAAAATGGCCCGAAAATATCCGCAACATCAGTGGCTAATGGCAGCCGGCGGCCTGGCCTTGGAGGGTCTGTCCTGCTTCGTGATACCTTTCTGCAGCGGCTACAAGATGTTGATGCTCCCGATCTGCGTGATCTGCTTTGGCATTGCGTTGATAGACACCGCCCTGTTGCCCACGCTGGGCTACCTGGTGGATGTCCGCTACGTGTCCGTCTACGGCAGCATCTATGCCATTGCGGACATCTCGTACTCGATTGCGTATGCCGTGGGCCCGATCATTGCCGGCGGCATTGTGGAGGCAATTGGCTTTACGGCGCTTAACTTTTTGATCGCCTTCTCGAATCTGGCCTATGTACCTGTGCTCCGCAAGCTGCGCAACATTTACGACTTTAAGCCGTTCGAGAACGAGGCGAACATCTTGATGCAGGATCCGCCAAACAAGGAGTACCAGACCTATGTCATGCACGACCAGAAGCCCGTCGACGGCGAGCTCAAGAATCATCTCGAGTATGGCCAGCAATACCAGCCGGAGCAGCAGGAGACCAGCCTGGACGATCAGCAGCAGCAGTACGAGTATCAGGCGGCGGACGGCTATCAGCAGGATCAGAGCTATCAGCCGGGCTACCAGGAACAGGGCGGCAGCTATGCCCAGCCGCGTGTCGCGAATCCTTTCCAGCAGCCGCCAAGCAGAGCTCCGGCACCAGCAAATCCCTTCAGACAAGGATTTTAAACTGTTGTCAAAAGTATTTTGATTCATTTTTGTTTTCATTTGGAAATATTTGTTATACTTACACGTATTCAGTTAGGATATTACCTATATATATATATATATTGCAAGTGGTACGTACACTATAAAATGCATATATGGCATGCAAATAGTTTGAGCAGCTGTTTTGTATAATACACGATCGCCAGTTGAGTTAAATGGAAAAACGCACTATATAGTATATATATATATATATCCAGCCCGATGCCGATGTCGGGCCCTATATTATACAGAAGCTAGAGAAACCAAAGCATAGTCATAATTGGATCGAACTCAGGGAGCAGGAGCATTGCCTGTTCTCAGCTCTGATCCTTGACAGATATCACACACATATATATATTTATATATATACAAACTAGTTGGTAAGCGGCATAGCTGATCCGACTCCACTGTGCCCCAGATCCGTCGTGGTTAACCAGGCAATGGCATTCATATCGCAGACATATCACAAGTTGCACAAATCGAATACCCAACCCAAGGTATACCCTTTCGTTTGTCATTGCGACGGAACTGTGCGCAGCATACAGTGGCGGCTGATCGGTAGTGCCATATTATTTAACGATTAAATTTTGCGTTCATTGATTTTTAACATAAGACACAACCAAGGTAACGATACATATCAGAGTCTCGATGGCTCGCCTGTTAAAATTACCAAAAGTGATATTAACTATTGCTATATACATGTAGAATCATAATTATATATCGTATATATATATATATATACCGTATCATATCGATATTTTAGGCCGTAATAAGTATAATGAAAACAATTTGAAAATATTAGATGTTTCATATTTACCTACCAATCAATTATTATTTGCTTGTCGCCAGATGGTAAACCCTCTCTATGAAGGTATATACCCGTTGCCATAGCAGCTCGACGATAGCATAGCATAAATGTGTGTACCTTGTGTCTAAAGTGAGATGCATTATCTAAACGTAGTTATACTAACAATTGATATATATATACAAATATATATATATATATATTTCAATTCACTTCGATTGCCGCACTTTTTGAGAGCAGTTTATTGCTCCTATATATATTATACACCCAACTACTTTTAGCCTGGTCTAAATATAGAGCCTTAAGTAAACTGAATTTTTGTATACATACCAACCCATTTGCTAACCATGCAGATAATTATTATTATGCAGTAGTTATCACATATAAATATATGGTATATATACATACAGATACAAATTAAAATAGGTTTTTAATGTGTATTTGGCGAATTAAGCTACTTATTATATGGACAAAAAAAAAAAAAAACACTTGAACATTCGATATCCGTAAACATATCAGTGACACGGCCATTTTCAAATTAATAGCAAGCTTATCTAATCTACGAGTATATATTTATACAGTTAGAACATTATCTATGGGTTATTCTGAGAAATTTTTAAGAGCAGTGCCTAGTTTATATGCTCTAACATATACAACATACACTGAAAATGATTTCTTTCTACATTTTAAAATGTAGCCAAGAAATTTCTTTATTTCAGTCACATTTCTTGTTTTGAAAAGAACATTTTCTTGCTTGGAAAATATGTTTATTAAACAATAGCATCAAAATATTTTTTGGCGATTTTTAAAGTTGTGGAAAACAGTTAATTTGAGTGTACAATGGGTTATTTTGCTCTCATATCGAACATACACTGAAAATTATTTCCACATTTTACTATTTTCGTATTTCTTGTTTTTTCTTAAATAAATTTTCTTGCTTGGACGAAATGATCATGAAGCAACATTGTTCATAAACATTTGATGGCTATTTTTTTTTAAAGTTGTGGAAAACAATTTTTTCGAGTGTACACACATATATATACACATATCCGTGTAACTAGCAAATGCACTGATTTTCAAAGCAATTAGTTAAGCAAAGTTTTGAAGTTTCGGCTAAGATTTTGAATAAATATTGTTTGATTGCACGGCGTCATTTGATCAATTACCTAAAACGTCTATTATTATTATTTTATAATATAGGAATATATATATATAACTTTTAAGAGTTCTACATAATAACGCGCTTTAGCAATATGTATAACTACATAATGAATAAAACTCATGAAAAAATCTCCCATCAAATGTATCAATTAAAAAAAAAAAACAACAACGTACAGACCGTGCGAACAGAATCTAAATGCAAAACTATATTATACGTATATAGCAAAACAAATTTATATGCATAAACAAAAATTACAAAAAACAAATAGTTTATATATATATGTATGTATGCCTATGATCCATGTTCACAAGAAAAAAGTCACTCAAAGGATCATTGAAAGCACATTACAGCGAAATCTGAAAGATATTGCTACCATCTGTTTCGAAATGAACCAAAATATAATAATAGATATTTCAGTATAACAAATTCAACACGCATATGTATATTTAATGGACATTTCTAAAAGCAATATACAAAATAGTTACAAATACTTTGAAATTGTTTACAAAATCTAGGCATAAATCTGTAAAACAATATGTTATGCAATTCTTCTGCAAATGGTCTTGTATTTCAATCCCAACATGTTCTTCGAATTTCAGTTAGGATTTATACAAGTTGCCATAAGAAGAAGAATAATCTTCCAGAATTGAATTATAAATAAAACGATTATAAATATGAATTTTAAAATTAACAAAAAAAAAACGGTTTGTAACTGACTGGAGAGTCCGCGGGAATTGCACAACACTATCGAGTGCTCCTTTACTATATACAGTAAATTGGCATTCCGAAACAGTGTTGTAAAGTTTTCGGGGATCTTCATTTAAAGCTTACAGAACACGCAACAGTGCCGGCAATGTGTAATATCTAACAAAATTTTCTAAAAACAAGCAAAGAAGAGAAGCAAAAAAAAACTATAACAAAATATATATGTATGTATTGTAAAGATTAAATAATGTTGCAAAAAAAAAAAAAATATATATATATATATATGTATTTATACAAAATAAAGAAAACCAGAAAAATAATGTAAAATATAAATATATATATACGAATAAATATAATGGAGAAATATACAAAAAGATAATTTCAAATATTTCAACATAAATATGTATTTAAAGTGTTAAATGTTCAATAGCATATTATATATTATTATAATTACAAATGCATACAAATTCATATTATTATTTTCATTTGGAAAACTAAAAAAAAAAAACATTATAAAATGTGAATTATGGTAAATCCCAAAAATGTTTTCTAATATTTGAAAATTTGAAAATGCGTAACATTCTGTTTTTGTTTTAAATGTTATACATTTAATATGAGTTATATTTATAGGAAATTGTATTCGAAAGCCCTCAAGAAATGCCGCCACAGTTCAGTTTTGTATTATATATATCTAACACTAGGTTTTGATCAAAATGTTTCAAGTACGTATATACACACATACATATACATATACATATACATATATATTTAAGTACTAAAGTGTGCTAGATTTAATTGAAATTTTTCACAATTTGTTTCTGCTAATGTTATAGACGTTTGTGTTAAACTAGTACTTGTAATATTATATAATTATAATAGAAAATCAATTAAAAGCAAAAAAAAAAACCCAACTATTCTACCTAGCCCAGTTCTGAAACTTTGCTGATCAATTTCAAAGTCTATCCAACTATAATCTAAACAAAATTCTGTTTCTACCTAAATCAGAAAACGACAAAATCTTTAACTTAAATCGGACTTAAACTAAAGCTATAGGCATTCATTCTAAGCTAACCCTCGGTGTTCCGATCTATACAATACTCTAATCCTATCCATTAATATAAACTCATAGAACTTGATAAGCTATGATTGACGGGTAAAACTTCATGTCTAGAATTACTTTCAATTCGATTAATCCCACACGGGATATACATTTAAAGAGAAACCAAACGAATTCCCAATTTCCCCCCAAAAAATCATGGCTAAAGTGTTATGAACTTGAATATGAATATGAATCATTTGGAATGAACAGCTAATGAATACTATGAATACGCAAAATAAATAATTCTAATTGCAAATGATATGGATAATGTGAAGTATCGAGTGGATAATGATATAATGCATATTAAAGAGCAAAATATACACATACAACAAACAAACAAAACAAATACTATTGAAATATAATTGTTAACCATGAAAAAAAAAAAAAGTCTTTCATTATATTAATTATCGAATTAAGCATTCGTTTTTCTCTTCAAAGCGAACAGACGTGTTTTTTTTTTAACATATTCATATATTTACAAATATTTATTAAATCTTTTTGCCTTCTCGGACTCATTTATTTTCGAGAGTGCGAGCTGGTGGCCTCTTCATTCAAATATATATATCCGGATAATAATAACTAAAAATTCTTGAAATAACTTTAGAGAACTGCTAATTGGTTTTATTTTTATTTTTTATGACTAATTGTTTGTTGTTTTGTTTGTTATCATTAATTCTCAGATATTTTTAATATAATAAACAAATTAAGTACAAGAAAAAACAAATTTTCAGATAGATATAAAAGTTGATGGATCTTTACTGCCTGAAGCCAAAAGGTGGAAGGAGCAAAGTTTTGCTTGTTCGGGGTGGTTCTTGGTTGTTTGGTGGTGGCTCATCAAAGCCAACAGGAGGGGGGCGGGACGGGACGGGACGGGACGGGACGGGACGGAAAGGGAAGGCAGGTCGAGAGGAAATTGTGTGCGTGCCCTGGGGCCAGAAATTTGGACGATGTTGCCGTGTGGAAAATGGATTTTCTTTTCGCAATTTCCATTAGCAACTTTTTGTTTGTTGTAGCCCCAAACGTCACGCATAAAGCTGAGCCCAAAATGTAACTTTAGCTTTTTGTCCGGTGGGTTTTGGAGGCGTGGCAACGCCCTAACCACCAGCTAAGTTAGACGTGTATTGAAGTATCTGTGTGTCTATTGTCCATTCGCATTTGTGAGTACAATTTGCGGGCAAATAACGAGTCAATATGAATTTCAGGCCCGGACCGCAACTCGTTGGCAAACAATACGCAAGCAATTTGCGCTTTCCGCTTGTTTCAATTCGAACAATTAAAAATGAAAATAATGCCGCAATTCATTTCAGTTTGCCGCACAAAAGTGTGTAAAGGTCTTTTCATATGCCCTAAGATGTATAGCATGACCCAAGTTCTGGGGAATGGGGCTGGAAACAATCCAAACAAGAAAGAGCAACGCTTTTTGAGCACACCGACAATTAAATGCCCTTCGATTAACATTTAGGCTTGGCATTGGTTAATTTTGAAGAAGATTTCTGAAAAAACAAGGCATTTTTCCCTACAAAAACTGGTTATTAAATCGACTTCGTCTATATATATACTTATATACATAGTTCCGACATTGATAAGATTAACATCAAGTGCAGATATCTATAGAAAGAAAATATATTTCCATATAAAAACTTGTTTTCAGACCAACTTTGTCTATTGAGCTATATGATATAGTAGTCAGATATTGATAAGGTTTGACTAACATGTGAGGCACATTATAGAATTAGTAAATGGTTAGTTTAGTTAAGATATCTAACTAATCGTTTCTGTGGTAGCTATATAATATGTTGATCCTATTCCCAAAATAGCTTTAAATTTGTTGAGAACAGTTTCTATATAAACACACTCGCCTATTAATATTGATCAGCTTCAAACATACTTTATGGGCTCAAAGTTCTCTCCCTCTGTGCATTACATATGCTATGACAAAATATTAATACCCTCTTCAAGCGTATTTAAACACACAAAAGCGCAGCCAAAGGCCCAAAAAAAAAAAAATGTATTGAAAGCAGCGTAAAACAGCAGCGCTAAGACCGTAAAGGATTTACGGCTCAATTGTTGCGTGCGTGCCAGAAGGAGCAGGAGCGGGAGTGGAAGTGGGAGCAGTAGCAGAGGCTGGAGCAGGGTCAGGAGCACGAGCGAGAGCAGAGGCTGGGCGAAACACCCTCAAATATAAATGAAGCCCTTTACGAGCAGCTAAAGCGAACAAAGAGGCAGCAGCTCATTCATTCAGTCAGTCAGTCACTCATTCATTCACTCAGTCATTCATTCATACACCCTGCTCCTGCTGGTAGTTACATCCTGCTGCTGCTGGTGTCACTTGGGTGGGGGTTGGGACTTGGCACATTCTCGGCGGTCACGGATTTGTTTTGCCTTTTTAAATTGTTCCGCTTCATTTGCTGCGGTTACAGCTGGAGTACAGGATACGCCAAAAGGTTGCCAAGGATTCCAAGGATTCACAAGCTAGATAAAGATCCTCAGTGCTAACTCCATGCTGATTCTGAGTTCTTTTTTCATTGATCCGGACCAGCTCCAGCTCAACCCAGCTCCTCCTCCAACTGCCCCTCTCATCCCATTGCACGTAATGAGTTCTGGTCTTTGGGGTTGGAATTGGAATCCTGCCAAAATGGAGAAACATTATTTTTCATTGGGATTACATTTTTATCTCCGCCTCTGACAGGCGGCAGCAGTTGCCTGTCGTCCGAGGACAGCTTGGGGTTTGGCAATTCAAGCGTGATTTTTGCTGTGTTAATAATGAGCCCGAGCTGGTTTATTGAAGCGTTTTATTGCCAACTGTTAAACACGGGGCGTGTGGCCAATAAGCTCCATCATTTTAGGGTGTGAATCGTTCCCCTTCCCCTCCTGCTTATAACAAGCTAATGCATCAATCGATTTCGCTAAAATGCAAATCGAGTTAGGGCCACAAAACTTTTGGCAACAGCAAAATCGAATCATGAACAGACAAAATAATCGACAAATTGAAGCTGACGGCTTCATCAATAGCCAGGAGCTTCATCTTTGGGCTCGGAAATGGAAACGGAAATAGGAACTGCGCCCCGTCTGCTGTAATGGCGCATGAATATCTGATTAGCCGCCCATCTGTCTAATCAAAAATCCCAGCATCATCAATCAATCAATTGGAAACGTGTCCATGTCAGAGCACATAATTGAATGCGATGCGATTGCAATGCGCCAGGCTCGGGCTGAACTGAATTCCAGCTTGAGCCAACCCCGAATGTCATCTCCTACCTCATCTCTAGAGGTATTTGATATTTACACACATTTGTTACATTCTTTATTGTAGCTTTTTAAAGGAACTTCATGGGACTCTCAGCACGCATCTTTAATAGAAAAAAGCTAAATACCTTGGCAGCTTCTCTCTTGGTTCAAGGGTATCTGCTCGCGTAGATTCATTATTTTACCTCGACTTGTAGCTCATCTCTCGATTCAAGGCTCTGCGCTTTGATATTAACACACATTTCTTGCCATATTTAGGTTCTAAACAGTTCAATTTGATCGGAGTCTAAGCACCGATGTTGCATCTTTCTCTCTTTGGGGCAGGGTATCTGCTAGTCGTTCACTCTTTATTGAGCTGTTCGTCGCAGCAACTACAATGGCTAGGCTGTATAAGCACTTAGATATCCAGTTTTTAGTCGATTTTATTTCAGTTCAAAGTAAAAGATTAAAGTAGCTACACGGACCGCAATTGGTGTGGGGCACAACCTCATGCTTAATTACTTAATTTGAATTTTCCATAGCCAACCGACGCTTCCTAACGCAATTTATTATCATTTACAGCACACTGCAGAGCAGGTTGCCCTATTCAATGTCTCGTTAGGCCTGGGCACTGCGTGGCCCATCCACAAGGGGCAGCCGACAGTCAGACAGTCGACCAGGCCAGGCCAGGTTGTGGTTAATGTTATTTCTGCAAAGACAACCATGACACCAGCAAGAGTAAGGAGGAGGGCTCAGAGTGCGCAGAGTGCTCAGTGCTCGACAAGAATCATAGCCTAGACTCAGCTGCGAGTTGTTAGAAAAATATACACGCTATTTTGTTTCTTGTTCCTCCCTCTTTACTCTATGGAAAATGGACTCTTGCATAGCTTCGGTTTTTATTATACAATCTCTATTCTTAGCCTGCAAATATTAATTCCAGTTTAGCTACCTACATGCCCTGCATACCCTACATATCCAGCTTTTATAATCTTCGAAAATATACCTAAGAAAAAAGTTTAAAATCGCAAGAATAAATTTATTTTATATTTATTTTTTTATATTTTCTGCCTGTCGCATACCTCTTCCCGAAAAACAGCATACCCTCCTCATCCATTTTCACAGGGTATAATTACAACTGGGTGGGAACAGCAACAATAGAGCGGATGCTCAAATTGGTGCCACGTGACTTCATTGTTGGGCGAACAACTGTATATAGTTGTAAGCCCCCCCCCCCCCCCCCCCTCTCCACCACGCCGCCTTCCACCACCCCTCCAGCTAGGAGATGGGCCATCTTTGGCCAGATAATGAAAAAAGGATAATAAATTGCATTAAATGTGGCCGCGCTGCGGAAAGGGAGGGGCGGCTGTTAGCCCGTTTTGCTTTTATCATGATTGTCGTAAAACCATTTTTATTAATAACATTATGATTGTCATAAGTAGACCCGGAACAATCCCTCGACGGAAGTGCGAAGGCCCATTCCCGCATTTTGAATTAGTTGATGTTTTATTTGCTGCCTCTCGGATGCGTGTGTTATGCTGTACAAGTCCAGAGCCTCATTTATCTGGCCAAAAGCCAATAACGGAAATTGCCGTCTCTCTGGGCAACCGGAAGTGCTTACACACTCGGCTTACAGCCGGGCCAGTCAAAACTTTAAAGGACACCCGCACACAAAAAGGAAGCAAGTAAATGGCAGGCTCCTATTTCAAGTAGTTTTAGTTTTCTTGCCCAATTTATTGCATTCCTGCATGACGGAAGCCAATAAATTCTTGATGAGCTTTCGAAAATTTTAGCACAATAGACAGAACTAGCTGGATTTGGACAGAGTTCTTTAAAGTGGACTAGATAGATGGGGTAGATAGATGGATAGAGTTTGGATAGATAGAATAGATAGATGGATAAAGTTTTGTTTAGATTGATAGGGTAGATAGATAGATAAATGGGGTAGATAGATGGATATAGTTTAGATATATAGGATAGAATCTATCTATATATCTATATAGGATAGATGGATGGATAGATGGGATAGATAGATGGATAGAGTTTGGATAGACAGGGTAGATAGATATATAGGATAGATAGATGGATAGATGGGATAGATAAAGGCACAGAGTTTTGATAGATAGGACAGATAGGTGGATAGATAGGAAAGATAGATGGATAGTTTGGGTAGACGAATGGATAAAGTTGGATAGGTAAGATATAAAGATGGATAGAGTTTGGATAGATACTGTAGACAGATGGCTAGAGTTTCCATGTTGCCAAATTGATTTGCTCATTTCTCGCATTTGCCCAATCTTACCTGAAATTAAGTTGGCTTTTGGCTTAAACGACAACCTGACAAACAAGAAGTGCGATAAGCCATATTCCACTGCCCTACTGTCAGCCTATACGATAACGCATTTATTTGGGAGCTACCCAGCCAATGGCACTTGAACCTTCTGACATTGATGAACTACCTGGTTTTTATCAAGCATTCCGATATCGGATCTTAGATTAATGCGTCATTTTCATTAGTCAGGAATTATATTTTTGTTTTCAAATTTTAATAACAATACCTTTGTGCCTTTGTGATTGGGTGAGGGTGGGGGCATTCCATGTTATTAAAATTTTGACATATTTCGCAAGCTCTTTATCATACGGAGCAGAAAACTGCTCAAGATCTTGCAAGCAAAGGGAAAGATTGAACATGCTAAGCTTCTTTCAGGTCTCTCTAACATGTGTTGCCCCACCAATTTAAGCCACAATTTAATGCAATTGACTCTCGGAGAATATACAAATATTCTATAGCACGATAGAATCTACTATTAAATATTTCATCAAGATCGGTTAAGAAACACAAAAGTTATTAAAGCAAGAGTGTTTTGGCTGGCCTCGTGTTTGCGGCAGCTAGAATTTCTGTATGCATGTACACTCACACATTCATGCGCGTCTTCAACTAGACCCTCTTGAACTTATTTTGAATTCTCAATCTAACTTATTAATATTCGTTTTATTTTGATTTTTGTAGGATGGAAGGACTCGATATTGTCCATACCCAAGAAGTGGCTCTCCTCGGCCGAATCTGTGGACGAATTTGGATTTCCTGATGTGAGTGAAATGCGATTTAACAATTTCAAATTTCTTTGCAGGCAGCGTCAAATATTTGTACAAGGGCTCGACAAACTTGCTACTAGACTAATTCAAATACAAATACAAATACAAATACAGGAGCGCACGCACACACACACACACGCTTGAAGACAGACTAATCCTGTTTGTTATAATTACAAATGCAAATAACGAGCGCTTTTGTATGGCAACCGTCCTCTGGGGCAACCGGAACCAAAGACCAGACAGCCCCCACCCCCACAGTCCTTCCATAAACAAACATTCCACCAACTCCCCCCGCTCCCAACTCTCACCTGTAAAAGCACAAGAGCAACCCCCAAAAATACAGAGAGACAGACATCCAAATATGAAAAGCCTGGGAGGGCTGCTGTCAGAGTCAAATGACAGATGGAAAAGTTTGCTGCACACTTTAACTAAACACAAAATGGGAAAAGATGCAGAAGATTAAATACCCTAACATCGGAGATTTAACATAACATAGATATCCGATATCGTTTAGATTGAGATTATCTTAATGCAGCAACCTATTTCTGTGGAAAGTGCGTTCGACTTCAAAATAAATTATCTCGATAGTTATTTCTATAGTTCTATAGGGAGATATAAGACATTATTAGGAGTTTTCTATTAATTCCCGAGTATGGTTAAGATATCGCTATCCGGCTGATTAGTTCAATAGAAGATGTTTTTAATTTAAGTATCGGTTCGAGTTCAGTTAAGATATCGTTTCTTAAACTCACATAGCAATCCGATATCGTATAAGGATTGAGCTATCTTAATCTTGCAGCCTAGTCCTGTAGAAGTTGTTGAAAGGAATTTTTGTCATATTCTAGAATGCTTTCGACTCATTGTTTTAGTGGGAGTTATGTGATGTGATGGTCAGATATGGCTTACTCCGAAAACCATATCGACTCGTCACATTAAAACAGGCCAGAAAATAACTTATGAACATACCCTTTATTTTCCGATCTCTTAATGTGTGACAAATTGCGTGCCTTTGTTGTCATACCCTCTGCCAGGACTTAGGAATTTCAAGTCAATTGAATACAGAGTAAAGTTTCGCAAATTGAATAGCTATGCAGCATAGAATGTGAAAGAGATTTAACTGAATTGCAATAGTTAGATTAATCCTCAGACAGTTGCTGTAAAAAGCTCCTTTTGTCTATCACAAAATTCGGAATAATCGATACCGATAACTCAGTTGTTCACATACCCTTTGCCGGGACTTAATAATTCCAAGTCACTTGAATATAGAGAAAAAATGCAAATAGAATAACTATGCAGCATAGAATTTCAAAAGAGATTTAATAGAATTGTGATAGATAAATAAATTTTCTGTAAGTAACTCCTTTTGTCTATCGTCAAATTCGAAATAATCGATATCGATAACTCAGTTGGTCCGCTTCATAAATCGATAGCTAAGATTCAAGAATATTCACTTGAATGCAGACAAGTTCGCAAATGAAATACTAGAATTTGAAAAATATTTACGTGAATTGCGATAGATATATACAATTTCAGACAAACAGTTGCTGTAAATGGCAAAATTCGGAATAATCGATATCGATAACTCAGCTGCTGCGTTTCACAAATCGACAGGAACTGCCGCACAAAACTCACTTTTTATTATGAAATTGTGTTGGGCCACTGGGGAATCTCAAGAGCCGGAGCTCTCAATTCAAGTTGTCCGTGACAGGGCAAAGTAAATGCCAAGCAGCTCGCCCTCCAAGTTGGAGGAAGTTAATGCAGCACGCCCCAATGTCAGATTCATGCCAATCCCCTGCTCTGGCTCCTTTTCCTATACTCTACGCTTTTTATTTATTCCTTTTTTTTGTGATTTGAAATTTGGGTCCCTGGGGCATACACTTTTGTGCCCGGCTAGAGCAGGGACTTTTGTATTTTAACTGCCATTATGTCCTGCATATAAATGAGCAAGAGCGAAAGAGGGAAAGATGAAGCCAAATACAATTTGACAGAAGTTCCCAAAATAGAAAAAAAAATAATAAAACTGAACCCTTTCTGGCTTTCAGACTCTGCCGAAGGTGCCTGTCCCACCGCTAGAACAGACCATGGCCGACTATGTGCTCGCCCTGGAGCCCATCACAACGCCGGCGCAGCTGGAACGCACCAAGGGCATCCTCAAGCAGTTCCTGTCGCCGCAGGGTCTGGGACCCCGACTGCATCAGTATCTGCTGGACAAGCGCGAGGCCGAGGATAATTGGGTGAGCTCCTATTGCTGCAATTCTCTGAATACTTGTGTGACTGATTGACTGATTGATTGACTCACTGATTGACTGATTGATTGACCATCAGTACCGGCTGGACAAGCGCGAGGCCGAGGATAATTGGATGGGCTGGTTATTGATGCACTTCTCTGACTGATTGACTGACTAGTGTCGCAGGGTCTGGTATCCCGACTGCATCCGCTTGGCTTTAAATTCATTGAGAAGAATGTTAATTAAAAAAAAAAGATCTCTTTCTTTTTACAATTGGTAAAAGTTAAGCGCAAAGAAAACCCAATTAAAATATTTTAGAACCCTGGCCGGGTAATATTTGCAAAGGTGTGTATGTATGTCAATCATTGCACTGTAAAAATTTTATTCAATTTCAAAAGCAAGTGCACTTAAGTATAGTTTAATACATGTGCACGTGGATAATGTTTAGTAGGATTATATATTCTTAGGTGGCGACAGTTGGTGGCCCGGGGACAATGGTGCCGGCCGTGGGCTCCGGAGTGGGCGGCGCGGGCACATTGGGGTCGTTCGGGGACGGTGGATTGGGTATGGAAATCGTGGTGCCGGATGGCTCATTACCATCGACCGTGGTGCTGGCACCCGTAGTCAGAGTTGAGTCCGGATTCGCAGTTGTGGATGCAGCAGTTGTGGGATCTTTGGTGGTGACCGTGGTCGGGGCAGCCGTTGTTGAATCACCTGGTGCCGCAGTTGTGACCGTGGTTGGTGCAGCCGTAGAATTGCCTGGTGGTGCCGCGGTGGTCACGCCGGACTCGCTGATGGGCTCACACTTCAGACCCAGCTTATTCTCTTCGCACGCGACGGCGGGTATGTAATTGGCACAGGATGTGCACTCCTGCAGCACGTAGCTGAAGTAACCCGTTGGCGCTTGGCATTTGGTTAGGACTGGCTTGCCCGTAGTGCAGGAATAGTAGGAGGTCGGATCCGCGTAGCTGGGCAGCTTGATGCGCTGATTCGGCAGGCAAACGGGAACGATATCTGTCGTGTACTCGGGCGTGACGCAACTCTCCTGGGCCCGGACACTGATGGCCAACAGTCCGGTGACTGCGATTAGAACTGAAAGCAAATGTTGGTGAGATCCTCTCCAGGCGACAACTGGCAGCTGCTTACCGGCTCTCATATTTCTGCTGCTGCTGCTCGACGTCTCGCTGGTTGCTTGTGACTGCTAAACGTGGCCCGTGACAAGGCCTTTTATGGCTCCGGCTCCAACTGTTGAGGTATTTGTAATCAGCTGCCGCGTCTAGATTAATTCTTGTCAAAATCAGAATTCAATTCTATGTAACCGGGGTAATCTTTGGCATATGTACTTAGATAACGCGCAGCACAAGACTTCGCTAATTATTGTATAATCGGAACTATATTTCCCCATTCCCAAGCGCCCAGCTCTTCCCCTTGCCAGGCCAATTAGCATAGCTGACATTCCCCCTTCCCCAATCTTCTGTGAGTTGAATTCATATCAGAAATGTTTCCGCTGAATTTTATCATCTGCTCGCTGCTAATAACATTTCGTATCTGCCCCCGAAAACGACTTTATTCATAACCCAACCAACATGCTGGGCGATAAATGGGGCTCTGTCTTTCTTCGGAAATACAAAGTGAACGGAAATAATTTTAAGCGAAATTCCGCGCGATCTTTCATTAAATTAGAGCCTGGATCATAGACTTCAATCGAGTATGCGACAAATTTGTTAAAAATTAAAAAGTGTTGCATTCGAATTTCCCATAACTCAATACGATAGAACCCTAAAGAATTAAATACTCAAATGGAGTCAGTTCTGAATTAAATATATTCTTTATTTTTAAACAAATTTTCTATAGTGTTAAATCGAGTGAAGAGGTAGTGCTGCTTGAAAATGCATTTTACAGGGTATATCGCAGTCGCTCACACTTCCAACTGTTCGGTTTTTCACATTTATAAAATACAGCTACCAAATGGAATGCATTTTTAGTAGAAAATCTTCACCTGCCGAATACTTGTCAATTTCTAGTTACAATCATGAATTAATTAAAAGTTTTAATTTTAGTAGAAAATCTTCAATTATTCGGGTATTTGCGAGGTATCTGCTAGTCGTGCATGCTCAACTGAAACTCTTACACCTGCCGAATTTGTCGCGATTTCTATCAATTAAAAGTTTTAATTTTATTGAAAAAATGTCCAAGTATTCGACTACTGCCCAGGGTATCTGTTAGTCGTGCATGTTTAACTAAAACATTTTCACCTGGCCATTTCTAGTAACAATTAAAAGTTTAAAATTTAGAAGAAAATCTCCAAGTATTCGACCAGATACCCAGGGTATCTGCTGGACGTGCATGCTTATCAAGAAAACACTCACCTGCTGAATTCTTGGCAAGTTCTAGTTACAATTATTAATCAATTAAAAGTGTTCGACATGGGGCAACAAGGTCCATTAGCTAATTGATTGATTGATTGATCTATGTGTGTGTGTGCGTGTATGCGTGGATACACATGTTATTATGGAACAGGCACTTCCCCATGGCTAAATAGATATTTGTGGAGCGATTGCAGTAAAAATATTTATTTGGGTGTTATTTAGAGTTTTGAATGAAATTCCGCTTGTTGAACATTAATTTTAGTTGTTGATTCTCCGGGAATGGAACTGGAGCTGGAAAGGAGACGCCTGCCTCTCTAAGCCGAGCTTTGGGTTGGGGGCTTCTTCTGTGCCTTGCTGGGAGGCGTTGGCTTCTTGGCCGCCTTGGGCGGAGCCGGGGCCGCGGGCTTCTTGGCGGCGGGCTTCTTGGGCGCGGCAGCCTTTGGCGGCTGTGGTGCGGTCGGTTTCTTGCCGGGCTTGGGCGCCTCGACGGCCACGGTGGGCGGCGTCGGTGGCTCCGTGGGCGGTGTGGGCGGTGTGGGATCGAGCGGCAGCGCATGCACAACCTGCTCCTGGGCGGGCTCATGGGCATGAATGGGCTGCACGCCGCCAACGGACGCCAGCACAGGCGGCGCCTCGTCGACCAGGTGCGTCGTTATGGGTGCCGCCGTCGGCAACACATCCATGGGCGGAGCGGGCACATACAGAGCTGGGGCGGCACACTGCTGCAGCACAAATGTGAAGACCTGGCCGGCGGGACAGTGCACAGTCAGCTGGCTGCCGTAGACGCTCTGGCAGACATAGTACTCGGAGTTGCTGTAATAGCTGGGCCAGCGTATGCCCACCTCATCCCGGGTGCACTGCAGCTTGTAATCGATGCGCGCCTGCGCCAAAGCCAAAAGGCCGAGCAGAGTCAGAGCGAACACTGGAAAGTGGAAACAAATGGAAATGGGAGTGGAGGAAGAGGAAGGAGCCGGCGGCTGCTCACCTTTCATCTTGGGTGGGTTTGGTATCCGTGGAGCTGTCCGTCGTGGTTAGATGAAACTGTTGAACTGACTTTGCCGAGCTGCGCCGGGCATTATTTATACGCACATCTTATCAGAGATCTTTCTAGCTGATGCGATCTGCCTAGATGCCTTATCAGACATTCCTCTGATAATGTGCCTCCCCCCAAAAATTATAAGTGGGCCGCGCCCAATCTACCGTCCGTGCTAATTGAATTTGTATTCATAATGCGCTTTCCATGTACTCCGCAGGCTTACTATTACTGGCTCAACGACATGTACATGAATGTGCGCATCCCGTTGCCGATCAACTCGAATCCTGGCATGGTTTTTCCGCCTCGCCGCTTCCGGACCGTGCACGATGTGGCCCACTTTGCGGCCCGGCTACTGGACGGGCTGCTCGCCCACAAGGAGATGCTGGACAGCGGGCAGCTGCCGCTGGAGCGTGCCGCCTCTCGCGAGAAGAATCAGCCGCTGTGCATGGCCCAGTATTATCGCCTGCTCGGCTCGTGTCGTCGTCCGGGCGTGGAGCGCGACTCGCAGTATTTGCCCAGGCGTGAGCAGCCGGGCGAGGAGGATCGCCACGTGGTTGTCATTTGTCGCAATCAGATGTACTGCGTCGTGCTGCAGGCCAGCGATCGCGGCAAGCTCTCGGAGAGCGAAATCGCCTCCCAGATCCTGTACGTGCTCAGCGATGCGCCCTGCCTGCCCGCCAAGCCGGCGCCCATCGGCCTGCTGACAGCCGAGCCGCGCACCCAGTGGGCTCGGGATCGGGAGGCGCTGCAGTCGGACGAACGCAATCAGCGCAATCTGGAGCTGATCGAGACGGCGCTGGTCGTGCTTTGCCTGGACGAGCCGCTGGGCCGCAATTTCAATGCACGCGGCTTCACAGGCGCCACGCCCAGCATGCATATGGCCGGCGAACGGGACGAGACGAACATGGCGCACGAAATGATCCATGGTGGTGGCAGCGAGTTCAATTCCGCCAATCGCTGGTTCGACAAGACCATGCAGGTGGGTCAGCCCGAGAATAATCCATATTTTTCCTGAAGCCTAATTCACTTTTTTTCCCCCTTCGACAGCTCATCATCTGCACGGACGGCAGCTGGGGCCTGTGCTACGAGCACTCCACCTCCGAGGGCATCGCCGTGGTGCAGCTGCTGGAGAAGATCTACAAGTCGATTATCGAGCAGCCGTTCGATGACAACGGCCTGCCGCAGCATCATTTGCCGCCGCCGGAGCGTCTCGAGTGGCATGTACCAGCCGAGGTGCAGCTGCGCTTTCCGCAGGCCGCCGTCAGCGTGGACAAGGCCATCGACAATCTGGACTTCTACGTCTATCGCTACAACGGCTACGGCAAGAACTTTGTCAAGGCCTGCCAGGTCAGCCCGGATGTCTACATACAGCTCGCACTGCAGCTGGCCCACTACAAGTGAGTATGCGTGTCTCGAACTTGAACTCGAGCCCTGATCGGACAATTCAGTTGCAACCAACTCGAATACTCAATTGATTTTACTACCTGACACGTATTTCCGAGTCGAGTCGACCAACTTAAGTCTTCGAATAACGATTCACAAAATTCAAAGACTGTTCAAGTCTGCAACATGTTTGACCTCGAGCTAAACAATACACTCATGTATGAAAATGAACACCCGAAATGAAGCGAGTTTTTCTTTTACGATTGAATCGTATTTCGGTCGAGTTGCAGTTCGAGGGATTCAAGTTGTCTCTTGACTCACTAACAAAATTAATTGTAAATAAGTATCCGAGGCATGCATCGGTTGACTCAGAGTAGGGCCCAGGTTCAATAGCAAGATCTGAAGGGGAATAGTAAATAGTTTATCCTAAAACGAAATGAATTTCTTTCAGACTTTACGGTCACCTCGTGGCTACCTACGAGAGTGCTTCCACCAGGCGCTTCCTGCACGTAAGCACATGAATTCTATTATATTCGTATTCCATTTTCTAATCCTATGCTCACCCTTAGGGTCGCGTGGATTGCATACGTGCCGCCAGCACGGAGGCCTTGGAATGGGCCAAGGCCATGTGTCAGGGCGAAGGCGCCAATGTGCCGCTGGAGAGCGATCGTGAGGATGACGAGGAGGATGCCCGGAAAGTCAAATTTAGCATTTATAGCGTGAGTATTCCATATAAAGCTGGTCGAATAACTAGGCAACGTTTGTCATCTTTCGAAATCCTTTGACAGAAGGAGCACTTGCGGGAGCTCTTCCGCTGCGCCGTCGCCCGCCAGACAGAGGTGATGGTCCGGAATATACTGGGCAATGGCATCGATATACCATTGTTGGGATTGCGCGAGGCCTCCGTGGAGGTCACCGGCGAGCTGCATGAGCTCTTCACCGACGAGTCCTACAAGATATCGCAATGCTTTCTGCTCTCCACCAGTCAGGTATTCCTGATCCTTGACCAGCTTTGCACGCTTAGCCCGCACCAAGCACTAAGCACTTCTCACTTATCTATTGTCCTTGCACCACATTTCTCTTAATGCTTAACTTTTGCACCAACAGCACCAAGAGCACCTCGAGCTCCACACGTAAGCCACCTAGGTTTAAGCTCTGCAGACCTATCTCTGCGATCCCATTTGATCTTTGTCGCGTCTGTTTGCCATTCCAACAGGTCGCCTGCAGCACGGACAGCTTCATGGGCTACGGTCCGGTGACACCTCGTGGCTATGGCTGTTCCTATAATCCGCAGCCGGAACAGATTGTCTTCTGCGTGTCGGCCTTCTACGCCTGCGAGGATACGAGCGCCTCGCGCTATGCCAAATCGCTGCAGGACTCGCTCGACATAATGCGCGACCTGCTTCAGAACTAGATGGAAAACGAAGCGAAAAGCAACACAACAAAGCAAACATATCATTAAATGTACCTTAGCAACAATTTGTCCATGAAGATCCGAAAGGATCTCCCTAACTATACAACTAAAGAAGGAGAAGAGGAAAACCTTGAAGGAAGGAGAAAATTATATAGAGAAGAAAGGGAAGACCAGAGAGGATGATCAAGTTATATTGACAAGATAAGGAAAACCCTGAAAGAAATAGCAAATTATATAGAGAAGAAAAGAAAAAACAGGAAGAAGGACGGAAGGAAAACCTTGAAAGAAGCAGCAAATTATTTAGAGTCTTCGGTTAGCCGAATAATATATACCCTTGCAGACATTCAGCAGAATTTCCATCTAATTTTCTAGGAACAACATTCCATTGTATGATTATATAGATCTTTCAGTTTATTATTTTATTTTCTTTGGTTTTTTTCTCTTAATTTAGTTTGCTAACCAATCCTAAAATGTTATGATCTGGGATAAAACACACTGATCTATTATAATATTAATCCTAGAGCCTATAATATAACTTATTTAACTATTATTTTCCTTGAGAATTAGTTGTAGAATCAATAGACTTCATGGGTCTAGAACTCTATATACTGTTAAGTTTCATAGGGATAGGCGGCATGCAAAGGTACTTCCCCATGTTATATATGATTTATAAGGTCGAAAATTCCTGATTTGTAACCAAACAATTCCGTCTGCAAGGACATACAAAATACCTATGTAAACCGTAGTTAACTAGCGTCCACAAGACGTCAGCAGTTCTTACAAAAAAACAAAGAGAAATACTTTTAGTGTTGTACAAGTCATTTCAATCAGATACGCTGATTGATTTGCACAACTGATGTCAATCATCTGTTAAGCGTTATCATATTGAAACTCATTTGCTTTAACCCAAACTATTAGTAGATATATGACAAAGAGAAACTCTGGTCAATTAAATGTTTTAGAGCAATTTTATGCGCAATTGTTAGTGCTGTTAAATGAACAACAAAAATATATATATATCTGTATGTGTTAGTTAATTGTGCAATATTATTCTATTAGCTTGGCTGTCCGACACGAATTTCCGAGGCATGGCTATTAATTTGGCCGCCACTGTGCGCGTGCGCTCAAAAGTATGCAATACTTTTTGTTCGTTGTGTTTTGCATTATAGAAAAAATGTTATTAGAAATTGATGTTGCAAGTATATTGAATAGTCTATAATAATCATATTAAATGTTTTTTCTGTTGCTGTTTTCAATCAAAAAAAAAATATCTATAAATTATTTTAACTATATGCTTGTTAGAGGGAGCTGAAAAAAAAGGCTTTCCGCTATGATTAATACTACAAATATTGTTGAAGTTGAAGTTAAAGTTTTGTTAAATAAAAAATTAAAAATCATTGTACGTATATAGACTTGAAACGTAACAATACATATCAATAAATTTATATAAAGTATTTAGCCAAAAAAAGGCAAAGCATATCAAATGAATGAAACGAATATTAGAAACAACTACAAAAATCATATACTATATATATATACTACATATTTTAGCCGTATCTGTTCTATGTTCTTACTATGTTATACATTCACTCGATGATAAAGATAAATATACCATGTTATACACAGGAGAAATTCTTATATGAAAATGTTAAAGGGCAAAGGTTTATATAAATAGCGAAATATATATATATATATGTATAGTTGCTGTGTTCATTGTTGCCATATATATATATATATATATATATATATATATATTTTATGTATTCGTTGAACCTATCTAAACTATTATCTGTTCAATATATATATATGTCGTTAGGTTCGCATTTCGTTCCAAGTTAATGCATGCGAAAAAAAAAAAACAAAAACAAAAAGAAAAAAAAAAGAAATCACAAAAATAAATCGAAACATTGCATTCAAAGCTGTCGACTACTAACTTGACCTACATATATATATATATTATATATACTATAGAATATCTAGTATATAGTCTAAAATCTAGGTTGGATTCCCAGAAGCGTCGCATATCCAATATTGAACTTATTCCGGCTGCGATAAGCTGCCGCAGATAAGCGCCTGATTAATTGATTTTTTTTTAATTAATTAAAAAATAGCAAAAACCCGTTGTCCATAAAAGTCTCGCATTGCCAGCTGCGTTCCAACAGTCAACGCCAAACAACCAATATGAAACGTAAGTCGCCGTCAACTTAAACCGAAGGATTATAAATCTATTGAAATCTTTGCAGTACTCCACTTGCTGCTCAGCCTGTGCCTGGCCTTTCTGCTGTGCTCCGTGCCGCTGATCCAGGCCCAATCGGTGCCCACCATTGCGACGGCGGCGCCCACGCCCCCAAATGGTGCGCCCGGCGCCGATTCCGGTGAGGATGCGCCACCTATGCCATCCATGCTGACCACAGTAAATGTGCCCACAATAGACACAACCTACGGCGATTACGCTGGATCAGCTTGAATCCTTACGGAGTCAGGATATACGCTCGGCGTATTGAAAGTTTAATAAATTTGCATATTGAATTCGAAGTTGTCCAATTTCTGGAAATATTTATTGTCCAACATACAAAAACGACGACCTCTCATAAATTACACACATTTGTTGCACACACATAAGCATTAGTATGTATGTGTGTGTGCGATGTTAGGATTAACTAACTGCCGGATCAGATCTGCACCACATTGCGTCGAAAGGAGCCGCGCATCTGGGCTTGCAGCTGCTCGCTGCTGCACTCCTCATCGCGGCCAGACTGCAAGAGGAATGTTTTATTATAAAATATATTGGATAGATGGAATCTTCTTGGGGCTTACCTTGCAAAAGTTGAGCTCGAGCAGCTCAATGGCCGACAGACGCTGTTTGGGATCGTGCTGCAGACAGCTGTCGATAAACTCGTGACCCTCCTGCGAGAGGCTCTCCGGCGCCTGCGGCTTCTCGCCCATGCCCACTTTGAACATGATTTGGAAATTTGAATCGAACTGTGCCCAGGGGCGCTGCATGGGTCGAAACGAAAATAAAAGAGTTTATAAAGATGATAGCAAGGTACTTTCAGGCTTTGCCTGGCTTCAAAATAAGTCTAAAACTGACCGTCCGCTTTTGGCCATATAACTCCCTAACTATTCTGTAAGGTGTGACGTACGTCTAGAATGAAACCGCACACAACTCTTTGTTAAGCCTTCAATCAATGTGTCATTCTTCAAACAGTCAGTCATTTGTTCATTAGTCAGTCATGTTAATAGAGGGTCAATCAATCAGTCAGTCGTCTGCTTGCTATTTTCTGGAATATTAACTGTCATTTTCGATCAATCAGTCAGTTATCCATTGTTAATAAATCAAGTATTTTAAAATGTTGTCAAACATTTACTCAATCAATCAATCTGTCTATCAATCAGACATTCAGTCTGCTTGCCATTTGTGAGACTATGAATCAGTCAGTCTGCCGTTTGTCAATTTTTCTTTAGTCAGTCATTTAAATAAAAGGTCAATCAATCAGTCAGTCAGTCCGCTTGTCATTGGTCAAACATTTACTCCATCAATCAATCTATAGTAAGTATGCCTTTTGTCAATCAGTTATTTATACAGAAAGTCAATCAGTCTATTAGTCAGTCTGTTTGCCTGTCTGCCTGCCTGTTATTTGGTAGTCGATCAATCAGTCAGCCTGTGTGTCCGTAATTTGTCAATCAGTAAGTCAATCAGTCTGTTAATTCGTCAATGGAAAAAAAATAGTATTCTTTTTATCACTAGATAATTCCCGAAATGTTTGATCAATCAATCAGTCTGTCTGTCAAATCATCTGTCGTTTGTCAATCAGTCAATCTATAATTCAATCAGACTGTTAATACTCTAGTGGAGAAAAAATAATTCTCTCTTTTATCGCTAATATGTTATATAGAATAGTCACATAATTGCCGAACTGTTTGATCAATCATTCAGTCTGTCTGTCAGTCAGAGAGTCCGTCAATCGATCAATCTGTATTCAATCAATCTGTGAATTCGTCAGTGTTAGTTTTTCTTTTTATGGCTAATATGCTAGATAGAATAGTCACACCATACCCCAACTAGTTGATCAGTCAATCAGTCAGTCTTTCTGTCAGAGGGTCCGTCGTTTGTCAATCAATCAATCAGTGCTAGATAGAATAGTCACATAATTGCCGCACTGTGCGACCAATTAGCGATTGCTCATTCGTAATAGTTTTGAGGGCCGTCGAGTCGCGTCTTATCAGGAGCTTATCAGGTTTATCGGAACGTGGACTCACCTTGCCCGAGGCCATCTCGACGACAACACAGCCGACGGACCAGATATCGGCGGCTCTGCCATGGCCATCGCTGTTCGTCTTGGTGAAGACCTCTGGCGCCATGTAGGCCTGGGTGCCGACATAGCCTTGCAGCTCGCCGGGCACCGTGGTGTGGGCCTGGATCTTGACCGCGGAGCCAAAGTCGCCGAGCTTGAGGCTGTTGCTGCCGTCGACAAGGAAAATGTTGGCCGTCTTGATATCGCGATGCACGATGCCGTGCTTGTGCAGCTCGGCCACGCCGGACAGCAGCTGGGCGGTAAAGCGGCGAGCCAGCGCCTCGGGCAGGCCGCCCGTCAGCTCGACCAGGGACTCGAGTGTGCCCTCCGAGCAGAGCTCCATGAAGATGAGCAGCTCCTCGCGATGCACCTCGATGCCGTAGTAGCGCACCAGATTTTTATGCTTGATGCCCTCCAGGATCTTGAGCTCCTCGGCGACGTTCTTGAGGGCACGCGTCTCGCCCGGCTGGATGGCGATCTCCTTCATGGCCATCAGCTCGCCCGTATTGTTGTTGACAGCCGTGTAGACCTTGCCGAAACGGCCCTGGCCGATCTTGATGCCGCGATGCCAGCGAAAGTGGACGCTGCGTGCCCGGATCTGGACCTTGTCGCACGAGTTGAGCGCCTTCACCTGCCCGATGAGCCGGCGTTCGCGCAGATGCTCCTCCAGATCCAGATCCAGCCGGTTGACCGCATCGCGCACACGCTCGTGGCGGGACGCGAGCGGAGTCGAGCTGCCCTTGCTGGATGTGGCTGTCGATGTGCCTGTCGAAATGGGCGGTGTCTGTGGCACGAGGAGACGCAGCTCGCCGGCGCTGTGCGGCGCCTCGGCAAAATCGGCGCTATCCACAGAGCTGTAGCTGGCGGAGCTGTGCTGCAGCAGCTCCTCCTTCAGGCTAAACTGCGGATGCAGCAGCTTGTTGTACTGCGGCGATTGCAGCGGCGGCGTATTGGGATTCACCACAACCCCCGCGGACATGGGCGTGCGCGTCGGCGTCCGGGAGCGACTGGTGGCCGGCGAGGAAGTCTTGCGGGTGCGCGGCGATGCCTTCTTGCGGGCGACCTTCTCCGGCTCCGAGGTAATGCCGATCACATGGGAAATGCAACGATCCATTTGCTGTTTCAGCTCCTCGAACTGACGATCGTCCAGATGCTGGGTGATCTGCAGATCGCAGGCGAGCATCAGGAACTCCAGGCCCTGGGAGGCCCAGCGCGGACGCATGCCCCGGCCGCGCTCGCAGCGTTCCATCACAAAATGCATCCACATTTTGGCGAAGGCAATAATGCCCAGCGCCAGGTCAACGGTGTGCCCACTGTCCTTCTGGTCCATGATGCGCTGCTCGAACAGTCGGATCACATCCTTGTGATACTCAAAGCCGAACTTGTAGCCCTGATGCAGAATCTCGCGCGTGCGCGACAACACCGCCAACCGATCCTGTTCGTCCAGCTCAAGCATGTTGCGCATGCAACACCTGAGTTGGACACCCTTGATGATGTTGGTCAGCTTGTTGCGCACCTCGAGCACATCCTGTTGGAGCAGCTTGAAGGCCGCTTTGACGTCCGAGCAAATGAAATCGTGCTGCTGATTGGCCACATCGTGCTCGTAGTGCTCCCGATGGAAGTCCGTCGTCTCAACGTCCCGGCAGAAGGTCTTCGCAAAGAAGAGCACCTTAATCGAACGCTCCCGCTCGACGGTGAGCAGCGCCTGGGTCTCCCGACAGATGGTGAGCAGCTGCCATTTGAGCTCCTCGCTGTCGTTGCTGTGCGCCGTGCTGGCAATCTGTTCGTCCAGCTCCTCGGAGCGCTGCACCAGCCGCTTGGAGATGCTGCACAACAGCTTGCTGATGATGCCGCAAAACTTCTGGGAGGCCAGCGTGTGCATGCCCTTGATCATGGGACTGATCAGCTTTGTGAACATCCATTCCTTCTCGAGCACAGACTTCTGGTTCGTTTCCGGCACGGCGACAAGCACCAGCTGATCGATATAGTCCAGATAGAGCTCGAAGGTCTTGCGCACCGTCGCATCGTACTGGTTGAGGATGTTGATGTAGCTGCCCAGCTCGGTTTCGTTCTCGGCCAGCGCCGTCGTAATGTGGCGCTGGTAGCGCTCGCGATGCGTCAGTGCGAGAGTGAGACCCTCGCGCAGCTCCTTCATTAGCTGCTCGAGGCTGAGCGGATTGGGGCGCACCGGACGCGTCTCGAGGCGCATGCGCAGGAACTCGTGCATGAACTGCAACGGGATGCCGCTGAGGAACACAAAGGTGGGAATGTACGAGGGCAGATTGATGGATTGCGCCTCCTCGCTCCAGTAGCCGTAGGTGCGCAGTTCGATGACCTGTTCCCGGCTGATTTGCGGATCCATGCGCGGCACATCCTGCTCAATGATCTCCGCATCCAGCTCAAAGTCCTCCAGATCCTCCGCGCCGGGTTTCTCCAGCGCAATGTGCGCCTTATACAACGCGACCGTGTGCAGCTGATGGAGAAATGCCAGGGATTTGGCCAGACCGCGACACTTCAGCACATTCTCAATGAACTTGCGATACAGCCCAGAGACCTGCTCCCCGTTGCAGTCATTGGACGAGGTGCCCAGCGGCTCCACGCTGAAGATATTGATGTCGTGCATCGAGCCCTTGCGCAAATGCCCGCCCGGCAGCTCGTTCGACAGTTGGCTAATCTCCGTCGATGTGGATCTAAGTAGAGGAAGTAGGAAGGCAAATTGTTTAGATATATATGCTGATGCGTTGGGTTTCCACCTACTCATTGCTGCTGGAGGTCTCGCCGGGCACATGGGTCGAATCGTTCAGCATGAATTGCACCCGCGCACAGGACACGTTGCCGCAGCCCCGGCGGCTCGGCGCCTGCCCGTTGCCCGCCACGCTGGGCGGCTTCGAGGAGTCCATCGAATTGACCGCCGAGTCGTCGTTGTCCACGCCCGAGGCGGATGACGAATTGCCGCTATCCGAGCCCATGTACGATGTTTGCACCGGCCAAGAGAATTTCTCATCCTGAAGCCTGCAAGGAGTCGAACGAATAAATGTATGTCACAATTTTCAGTGGATAGTAGACCAGCGGATACCCTGTAACCAACGCCGAGCTGCCATAACATACATTTCGGTCACGATTGGTCAATAAATGGATCATTCTCAATCAATCAATCTATCAAACAATCAGTC